TACTTATTAGCATTTTTGTTGCCCTCTCCCTTACCTCCAAATCACTGAAGTTAACACACAGTAAGGGGTCATTTCTGGACAGCTGTCGTTCTGTTATCACACTTTCTTCTCAGGGGACAGTTGATGTCCTGAGAGAATTGCGCGTGTGAGGCACACAGCCTCCTGTGGCAGGGCCCCAAGAGGCGCTGACATTCAGCAGACTCCTGTCCCTGTCCTCGGACGGACGGAAGAGCTGGGAGCCACAGAAAGGTTGCACCTGTTGGGACAGGAAGTATTTGAGGGCTGATCACTTTCAAGTGGCGGCGTCATGGGTGGGAGCAAGTGCTCTGGGTTAGGTTCCTGTCTCCATGTTGATGCAGCCTCCAGGCTCGGCACCCCCTTCCCCTGTGCCTTCCTTTGTACATGGAATGTAACAGGACCTACTTGGCAGATGAGATGATCAACGTGAAGGTGACGGAAGCCCGTTCCACTCACAGTGTGTCCGCGGCCTGGTGACCCCGGCGCCCTCTGAGAGCTGGCAGGCTCCCAGGCCTCCACCTTCCCAGTCAGTCCCAGGGCTCTTCCGAGTTCTTCTGAGGTGGAAGTTCAGAAACCTAACTCTCCTGGAAAACAAAAGGCATCTTTATGAGGAACTTTCTTTGTAAACGGAACTGACCATGGTTCTGACGTGAACAGCTTTTTATCTGACCAGGGCACGCCGCTTTCCTGTTGCCTTGCCTTTTTCTTACATTTCCCCCCTTCCTCTCTGTGCACAGTCTGCTTCCCGCCTCCCGCCCACACTCCCCGCCTCCCGCCCACACTGCACACTCCCCGCCTCCCGCCCACACTCGACACTCCCCGCCTCCCGCCCACACTCCCCGCCTCCCGCCCACACTCGACACTCCCCGCCTCCCGCCCACACTGCACACTCCCCGCCTCCCGCCCACACTCGACACTCCCCGTCTCCCGCCCACACTCCCCGCCTCCCGCCCACACTGCACACTCCCCGCCTCCCACCCACACTCGACACTCCCCGCCTCCCGCCCACACTGCACACTCCCCGCCTCCCGCCCACACTCGACACTCCCCGCCTCCCGCCCACACTGCACACTCCCCGTCTCCCGCCCACACACGACACTCTCCGTCTCCCGCCCACACTCCCCGTCTCCCGCCCACACTCGACACTCCCCGTCTCCCGCCCACACTCCCCGTCTCCCGCCCACACTGCACACTCCCCGTCTCCCGCCCACACTCGACACTCCCCGCCTCCCGCCCACACTCCCCGTCTCCCGCCCACACTCGACACTCCCCGTCTCCCGCCCACACTCCCCGTCTCCCGCCCACACTCGACACTCCCCGTCTCCCGCCCACACTCCCCGCCTCCCGCCCACACTCGACACTCCCCGCCTCCCGCCCACACTGCACACTCCCCGCCTCCCGCCCACACTGCACACTCCCCGCCTCCCGCCCACACTGCACACTCCCCGCCTCCCGCCCACACTCGACACTCCCCGCCTCCCGCCCACACTGCACACTCCCCGTCTCCCGCCCACACTCCCCGTCTCCCGCCCACACTCGACACTCCCCGCCTCCCGCCCACACTGCACACTCCCCGTCTCCCGCCCACACTCGACACTCCCCGCCTCCCGCCCACACTGCACACTCCCCGTCTCCCGCCCACACTCGACACTCCCCGTCTCCCGCCCACACTCGACACTCCCCGCCTCCCGCCCACACTCGACACTCCCCGCCTCCCGCCCACACTCGACACTCCCCGCCTCCCGCCCACACTGCACACTCCCCGCCTCCCACCCACACTCGACACTCCCCGCCTCCCGCCCACACTCCCCGCCTCCCGCCCACACTCGACACTCCCCGCCTCCCGCCCACACTGCACACTCCCCGCCTCCCGCCCACACTCGACACTCCCCGCCTCCCGCCCACACTGCACACTCCCCGCCTCCCGCCCACACTCGACACTCCCCGCCTCCCGCCCACACTGCACACTCCCCGTCTCCCGCCCACACTCCCCGCCTCCCGCCCACACTGCACACTCCCCGCCTCCCGCCCACACTCGACACTCCCCGCCTCCCGCCCACACTCGACACTCCCCGCCTCCCGCCCACACTCGACACTCCCCGCCTCCCGCCCACACTGCACACTCCCCGCCTCCCGCCCACACTGCACACTCCCCGCCTCCCGCCCACACTCCCCGCCTCCCGCCCACACTGCACACTCCCCGCCTCCCGCCCACACTGCACACTCCCCGCCTCCCGCCCACACTGCACACTCCCCGCCTCCCGCCCACACTCCCCGCCTCCCGCCCACACTGCACACTCCCCGCCTCCCGTCCACACTCCCCGCCTCCCGCCCACACTGCACACTCCCCGTCTCCCGTCCACACTCCCCGCCTCCCGCCCACACTGCACACTCCCCGCCTCCCGTCCACACTCCCCGCCTCCAGGCCACGCTGCACACTCCCCGCCTCTCAGCCACGCTGCACACTCCCGGCCACACTCCACATTCCCCGCCTCCAGGCCACACTGCACACTCCCGGCCACACTCCCCCCTGCCTTTCTTCCTCTGGGAGGGGCCCTGAGGCTCTCCTGCAGTGTTAGAATGGATTGGGCGGAGAAGGACATGTTCCAGGACCCTGGGGCCCTGACAGACCCCTAGGCAGCAGCTCCGGCCAGGACGAGGCAGCTCGGCAAAAGCAACCTCACTAACTTGTGTGTCATCTCCCTTTTTACCGAGTGGGTTGGGGATCAGCGAAGGACAGTGGCGGAATTCCAAAAACTTACCCCACATCCCGTAAATCCCTGGTCAGTCTTGGTAGAAAAGTGGCCTCACCCCCTGGGGGAGAATCACTGTCACATCCCCTCCTGTCTTGTCCCCTGGCCCTGTGAGCGTCTGGCTGCCACAGGTGCGTGAGGTCCTGAGCATTCCCAGTGCCACGGAAGTGGCCAGATCCACGGGGAGGGTCAGCGTCGGTGTGCTCACCTCCGCGCTGCTGTTTTTAAACTCTGTTCCCTGAACGTCTCACCCAGTAGTTCTACATTTGGTAACTGTGACATCAGGAGTATTAACTTTCCAAAAGTTTAAATTCTTGATAAATTCTTATTAAACTGTGGTAATAATAAATCCCCATAGGTTTATTATGTAAGGACTAAACAGAGAGCCTAGCATATCTCTGGCCTATGGGGGGTAGTCCCCTCCAAAAACATTAATTTCCTTTTTAGTTTAACACATTTTTCTATTTTATTTTTATTGTTGACACTATTACAGATGTTTCCATCTTCTCTCCCTTTGTCCCCCAGTCCCCGCCCCCCCCTTTCCTCTGTCCATCACTCTGATGTCTGTGTCTGTGGGTGATGAATATATGTTCTGTGGCTCATTCCAGCCCCCACCCCCTTCCCTCTGACAACTGTCAGTCTGTCCATGTTTCCATGTCTCTCTTTCTATTTTATTCTTCAGTTTATTTTGTCTGTTAGATTCTACATATAACTGAGATGATACGGCATTTGTCTTTCTCTGCCTGGTTTATTTCACTGAGCATAATAATCTCCAGGATTCTTTTTTTTTTTTTTTTATTGAATGCTTTCAGAATCCCTACTGATTTTGTGTCATTGATCATTTTGTTAACTGCCCCAAGAATATAATCTTAAAGTTCTCAAAATCTTCCAGTAAATACTCAGCTGAGTTATTCTGTCTTTTTAAAAAAGCTTTAAAAATATGGAAACACTATAGTAGACGTGGTGGTGAGGACAGTGCCTTGAGTCCAGTTTGCACTGCCTGCCACGGCACACCAGGCTCTCGGGACCTGTGGCTCTTGTCATTCTAGCTGCGACTGACTCCCCGCTGAGCGCAGAGGCGAGGAGATGAGGGAGTCAGTGCCCCGCCCCACGCAGTGTACATTCCAGTGGTGTGCAATGAGTAAATGGTGGTGGTTTTCCAATTTGTAAGTATACTCTTTTTAAAACATTTTAATTTTGTTCATCTGATGGATCTTCCAGATGAGCGCCTCCGAGGAGTCGGATGAAATGCCGATGCCAGACTCTGAGAGCGTGTTTGTCATCCCCAGCAGTGTCCTCCTGTGGCGGATAGCCCCACGGCCTCCGAATTCTGCGCAGGTGAGACTGGGCTTGCTGAGGGTGGCCTCGCTGTGTGCGTCCAGCTCTGATGGTGCTCTTTCCTCGGCGTGTGCAGGGCCAGTCCAGGCAGGGCGTGGACGAGGGCAGATGTCATTGAAATGCCCTCAGTTTCCCTCCCCTAGCTCCTGGGTGCAGTTTCCCTTCCCCTGAGAGCCAGTGTGTGGGTGCTGCTCATCGCTGCTGCTGCCTGGCTGGGAGGTGTGTAGGGATGGGACTTTTGGGCGTTTATTAATTACTCAGGAGTAACCACTGGCTCTCGTTCAGTGCACAGTGGTGTACCCTCTTCAGTATTAGCCTCCCAGATCCAGCAAGTAGTGACTTCAAGGAAGAAAACCGAAAGAGGGTTGCTCTTGCCTATAGTTCTACTTGAAGTTGACATTGATATGGAATATTCATTCTGTGAGGCCCGCTTCAAGATTTCTTTGAGCCCGATACCCATAGGTGGTCCACCCTTCAGTGAAAACATGTAGACACATGATCTGAGAAAGGCTGACGATCGTGGCCGTAAAACGAGGGTTCCCTGTCAGGTCACACCTATTCCATCTACCTTCAGGGGTTTTCGTTTTTCATTAGCCTGGGTACATGTTAATTTGAACATTTTGCTTCTTTTTCAGATGTACAATTTTACTAACTTTGCAATGGTTTTGAATGAAATAGACAAGGAAATGGAGACTGTGATTCCTAAGACAGACTGCAGGTTGCGGCCTGACATTAGAGCCATGGAAAATGGAGAAATTGGTAACTAGCGTCTGACGGTGCTGCAGGGAAGACTAATTCTTTGGGGATGATGGTTTGTTTTATTCCTGGTTATCGATTGTTAGCATCATTGGAGTACCAGCATTTTTAGTCTCTCTTAGAATTTTTTTATTACGTTATAGAAAAGGTGGATTGCAGCCACAGGTGTTGTGCTGACCTGAGCTGTTGGGGTCCCTCCAGGTTGCTCTTGTATGCAGCTGGAGAGCCCATGGCTACAACCAGCCACAGCCCTTGGAAACATGCTGTCTTAGAAATTTTTTAATTAAAATTTGATTGAAGCCTGGCTGGTGTGACTTGGTGGTTGAGCGTCAACCCATGCACCATGAGGTCACCAGTTCAATTTCTGTCCAGGGCACATGCCCAGGTTGTGGGCCCGATCCCCAGTGGGGGTGTGCAGGAGGTGGCCAGTCGATGTTCTCTCTCATCGATGTTTTGCTCTCTCTCCCTCTCCCTTCTTCTCTCTCTAAAATCAATAAAGAAAAAATATTAAAACTTTTTTTATTTAAATTTGGTAACTTTATTTTAAACTTGGAAATCTGAGGTAGCCTTTATTAGCTCATATTCATTATTTCAGTGGTACTCCCTGATAATTGAATATACTGTATATAACAGAGGTGTATATATATATATTTTTTTATTATTTTATTTTTCAATTGCAGTTGATATTCAATATTATGTTAATTTCAGGTGTTACAGTGTAGTGGTTAGACATTTATATAACTTACGAAGTGATCCCCTCGGCAAGCCTAATGCCTGTCTGGCACCACACATAGTAATTGCAGGATTATTGACTGCATTCCCCGTGCTGTACTCCCCGTCCCCGTGACTCTTCTGTAGCCACCGGTCTCACTTCTCAATCCCTTCACCTTTTCCACCCACCCCCTCCCCTCTCCCCGCTGGCAACCATCAGTGTGTTCTAAACAAAAGCATATCTTTTTTTTTAAGTGAAGGATTCTTTTTTGTTTTTAATTGATTTTAGAGAGTGAGGAAGGGAGAGGGAGAGAGAAACATCAACCAGCCACCTCCTGCATGCCCCCCCCCACTGGAGACCGAGCCCACAACCCGGATGTGTGCCCCGACTAGGAATCGAACTGGTGACCTTTTGGTGAATGGGCCAATGTTTATCCAGCTGAGCCCCCAAAGCATATCTTAAATGTCAGAAAGGAAGAAGAGAAAACGATAACACCTTTATTGACATTAACGTATGTTCTAATTATTGTACTGTATATTTTAGAATTAAATATCACCTGTTAAGCCTCAAACAGCTGTGCCTCCCCTTGGTTAATTGAAACCTTTTTTATCTCAGTATTAAATTTATTTTAATTCAGAGGTTCTCACAAGGGGGCGCTTCCCCCAGAGATATTGACAGTGTCTGGAGACTTCGGTCATCAACCAGGGAACTCCGGCTGGCATGCGGTAGGCAGGCCTGCGGTGCAGTGGACGTCCTGCAGTGCGCAGGACAGCCCCCCACAAAGAATCCGCTCCAGTTGTCAACAGGGCCAATGTGGGGAACCCTGTTCTGACTAAACACTCTGATGCTCTCTCTGAATGGTCAGTGAGACAGTGCAGCAGCGTTTTGGATAATTGTTTGAGTTTTGTTACGGATGGAATCTGCAGGAGCTCTGTGAGGTCTCATAAGAATTTAGAAAAGTTCACATTTACTCAGTTTCTCCACCCAGTTTTTAAAGCATGTTAATAACATCATCCTTTTGGCCTTAAGAACAGGCAGGTTCTTTCTGGTAAATGCAGGCGTTATTAAGGCCGTGGGTTATGAAGAGGTGACTGGGTCTTGAAGGCCTCCTCTGGCTACGAACTTAGGCCCGTGTTAAAGTTTTAACTTGATGTTTGACGTGCGTTGGCGTTCTGATGGCACAGAAGTTGTGCCGATACTTGTGGATGGCATTCTCTCCTGGTACAATAGCTGTTTTCCATTGATATTCTTGTTTTAGATCAAGCTAGTGAAGAAAAGAAACGACTTGAGGAGAAACAAAGAGCAGCCCGCAAAAACAGGTCCAAGTCGGAGGAGGACTGGAAGACGAGGTGCGTGGTTCCGCGGGCCCGGCAGCTGGGCCGCAGGCGGCTGCGTGGGGCGGGCGGCTGTCAGCCTGCTGAACTGCAGAGCCCGGCCAAGCTGTTCCCGGGCCTGAGAGCACAGTTCTCTCCACTGAGTGTTCAAGCTGGGGGAGTTGCGCGTGTGACAAAGGGAAAGGACTCTTTGGAGATTGAAGTTAAAATATTTCCACACGGCCCTGGCTGGTTTGGCTCAGCGGTTAGAGCATCGGCTTGCGGACCAATGAGTCTCAGGTTCGATTCCGGTCAAGGGCACATGCCTCAGTTGCAGTTTGTCCCTGGCCCTGGTTGGGTCGTGTGGGAGGCAGCCAGTCAATGTGTCTCTCTCACGTCGATGTTTCTCTCTCTCCCTCCCACTCTATCTGAAGATAAATAGAAAAATATCCTCTGGCAAAGATTTAAAAATATTTTTCCCCCACACAGTTATCACAGTTAAATGCTAATTAAGAAAACGATCTTGTTTCCTTATCCATATGTAAGAGGGGAAGCAAAATCAGAACCGTAGGTTCTGGCATGAAAACAGGTTCAGAGCCATTTGTTTGTTTATGTGAGTCAATCACAGGGCTGTCTGCTTAGACATGCATCCCGTTTCAAGGATGTTTAAACAGTGTCTTTACTCTTCCAAACACAGGGAATTTAACATGTATGGAAATACAGTTTATATAAAGGAACATTCTGGACCCCACTCAGAAATAGAAAGTGGACAATAAAATTTTTTTTTAAGACTCGGGAGTTACTTAGGAACCACTTTGAGTAACAGAATCGCTTATAAATAATAGAATAAAAACATTTTCTACATTTGTATCATATAATAGAAACCATTGTCCCATAATTCAGATTTCAACTTGATGTTTGATGGGTGCTTTAGAGCCAGTGTAAATATAATTTCGCAAGCATTTCAGCAGATATTATTTGGTAGTCCTTTTGTATCTCAAAGAAAGATAATTATTAGGATGAGAAGTGACCTTAGATATCATCCAGTCCAGTGGTGTTTGGACTTGTTAGCATCAGCATCTTTTTTCCCAGCGATGCACAAAGGACCTGCAAACACCGGACACGTGCAGACAGCTTCCATGGTGGGTGGTGGGTGGTGGGCTGAGGGCAGGGCCCTGGCCGGGCCTCACCTTCTCCCACCTGCATGTAGCCTGGGTCCCTACACTCCGTTCAGTTCAGTACAGTTTGGAAACCTTCAGTCTAGAAAGCCCTCCGTTGTGGCAGAGGAGAGCAGCTGCCGGCGTGTTTCCATCAGGGGACCTGTGCAGGGCCACACGTGGTGCAGCCCCCGCTTCGTTCGTCCTTCCGGCAAAGCCTCATGGGCTTTACCGTGATCCCTTTGGGAAGATTTGATACATTTATCATTATTTCTATAGTCTTTTGCATAGAACCCCACTTTTGTCCTATATTTCTAATTAACTCTTATTTTTCTGGTCACATTTTCAAGTATACAATGTAAGTGAAAAGCCCAGAAAGAATTTTTACTGTCAGATAAAGTCTTAACATTCAGAGAGCAATGCATTAAACAGCTCTGTTGTCGCCTGAAAGTAACAACTAGAAGGTCCGTTGCGAGCTGCCATTTGGAGCCTTCCACGTGCCTTCGTCCACAGCTGTGTCCCAGCACCGTGGTTCTGTGAATGCACCCCTTCAGAATGATCCTACCATCCTTTGTCAAAGCAGTGTGTGTTGGGCACTTTTCTGGTGGTAAGATGGCACCTTCCCAGACCGGTTCCTCTCGTCACTGACACTGTGTGTTTAAACAGCTTGGTTCGGTGTGAGGGGCTGGGGGAGGTCACTTTTGTAAAGGAACACTTTCTCTTGGGTACAGTAGCCTCAAAGAAATCAGACTCGGAAATGTCCTGTAACCTGTCCCAAGTTCCCGCATGGAAAGCTGATGTTCTTGCTAATATTTGTTTCCCCCCTTGAAGAAAGTTTGGGCTCCAGGGTTTTCCAGGGTATAGACTGTGGTTGCTGCTTATGAAAATGGCTGTTTGGGATCCTGACCCATTTTCCTAGAGGCGCCCACAGACTTCAGTAAGCGGACTGTCGGGAGGAAGTGGGGAACTGCTGAGACAGAATTTGAAGAGGAGGAGAGGCAGGTGGGCGAAGAGGCAAAAAAGAATTGGTGACATCACCTCTCCCAATCTGAGCGTTGTGCAGAATTGATAGTTCATAGAAGGTTATTTTACTCATAGGGACCCACGACTTTCATTCTTATTGAATAAAAGGTAGCAAAGTAATCTCTCACCCTCCTCCTCTTTCCTGTTATCTGTGCTTCTCTAAAATGTTTGACTTGGAGCAATGAACTGGGCTTTGTTGTATGTGGAAGGGCTGTCATGGTAGTGGCAGAGGTTTCCAGACATGAGTGCTCAACATTAGGACTAGAAGTTGAAAGCAGCCCTATTCCTTTGCATCTGACCATCTCCTCCAAGGTGCTCATCTGTGGTGCAGTGTTCAAACTCTCCCCAAGAACAAGTGACCCCCAAAGGGAGGCTTGCAGACATGGCCTTGGAGAACTTCACTGACGTGTGAACGAGAAGCCATGCTCTGCTGTTAAATCTGTCGGTTTGCTAGAGGTCTCGTTGCGCCCTTCTCCTCCGCTCCACTTTGTACGGAAGAAGCCTGTGATGCTTTGCAAAATACAGCACAGGGCCGCAAGATGGGTTAATTTTAAAATTATTTTGATCTGCCAGCTTTTCTTTGTCAATCCTCACCAGAGGTTTTTTTTTTTTTTTCATTGATTTTCAGAGTGTGTGAAAGGGAGGGAGGGTGAGGGGCAGGGTGTGGAGAGAGAAACATCAATGTGCTAGAGACTCATTGATCAGTTTCCTCCTGCACATGCCCCAACCAGGGACCAAACCTGCAACCCAGGTATGTGCCCTTGACCGATGGACCAGCTCTCTGACCTCGGAGCACACCGGCCAGGGAGAGGCCAGCTTTTCTGCAGTGCTCGACTCGGCTCGACCTGACTAAGAAGTGCTCTGCAGCTTAGATTTGTGAGACCCAAGAAAATATAACTATATACTTATTATTAGACAAAAATTCTATGACTTTGATCAAATAATGGTTCCTTCATATATTTCTAGTTTGGTTACCAAAGTGTGAATAATAGGTATCTTGATCATCTAAGGCGACTTTTGCATTTTCTAATTAGTAGAAAGTCCCAAAAGCTAAATAATTGATGTAATGTTATTCTAGAAAATTTGGTCGAATGGGCATTTACGATATGTATGATCCTTCCAGGAATTGGCCTAGTCTGAAGGGTTTTTTTCTCTCAGGGTTTTTAGTGTTTCTCTAGTATAGGAACATTTGGGACTTACCAAACAAATCTAACCTCACTCTTAATTGCTAAATATTTTTAGAAGCAATTTATTTGGAAAGAATGGCAAAGACATTTAAGACCATTTTAATGTTACTCTAAAAACAAAATCATACGCAGATTTCATTGTGATCCTTTTGGACAAGTAGGTTTGCATTTCCATTTCCTAAAGAAAGCTGGGACTATGGGAAATGGGTCATGCGTTTTTTAAAGGACAAGAAAATGATTAGAGCAGCTCTTTCTGGAATTAGGTAAGACAGGTCAGAATGTTCAAAGCTGGGATGGAACCTAAGAATCCTATGAGCACAGAGAAAATGAGACCCAGGAGGGTTTGGACTAGATTAATTTCAGTGGATTGTGTGTAGCATAATATATTTGAAAATCACAGTCTTTAAAATCAGTCTCAAGTTTGATATCGGTTATTAGCTTGGGCAAGTTATTCAACTTCTCTAACATTCAGCTCTTTTGAAAAACGGAGCTTTAAGGGTTTGGGGGGCATTTACTCTGAACTGGACACTTGATACATTACTGCAGGTATGCTGTGAAAGTTAATTTTATCCCATTTCCTTATTTCTAATTGCTTTTAAAAGAATGGCTTCTAGTGGAAGATAAGGAACGGGGTGAGAGGATGAACAATTAGACAAAAATACTGGATCTAACGACCATGCTAGACAGAAGATCCTAATTCTGCTAAGTTGCATTGCTAAACGCTGTGGGAAGTCTGTAAACCTTTTGCGTGGTATCAGTACACGTTTTGGACCATTATTCTACATGCTTGCTTTGTAAAGGGAAAACCGTGACTTCACACTCTGGAAATCCCTCCCAGAATGAATTGCTGCCGTCGGGAGATGCAGCAGGTACCCTGTGATTTCAAACTGTTTCCCCTGAAATCTTGTCTTTTCTCTTTAAACAGGTGGTTCCATCAAGGTCCTAATCCCTACAACGGAGCTCAGGACTGGCTTTACTCGGGCAGCTACTGGGACAGAAACTACAGTAATTTGCCTGACATTTATTAAAACACAGACAAGTCAGGGCATCTGGCTGATCTACAAATAAGTCTTAAACCTGTGTTTTTACATGTTTTTCTTTGGTTTCTACTCATCTTCAAAAGGAAAAAAAAAAAAAAAAAACCCTGCTCATAACGTGCATTTCACCCACCAAAGTAGGGCATAGGTGATCCCGGTGATGAGAGTCTTACAGAAAATGGGTAATTTTGCTATCCAGACATACTACTTGGAATACTATTTTATATAGAGGTCAGAGAAACTGCTGGAGTATATGCTTTGTACGGCTGCTGTGGCCACATTTACTGAAGGTTTATACCTAAATGTAACTTTAGCTTTATGAAATTATATAGTAATCCCAAATCAAGTTATTTTGCTTGAATGTTTTAGATGTAACTTTGAAATGTTTAGGACTCTCCTATACAATGTTTATGTGCTCAAATGCAGAGGTTATGTCATTTTGTAAAGACTACATTGATAAGATGGCTTTTCTTCTAATGAATCCTCTCAATTTCCCCCCTTCCTACCTCCAAAAAAGAAAAAAATGCCTAGTCAGAACAGGTATTCCTGACTTGAAAATTCTCAAGAATTGAACTGAAAAGGTATTTCATTTGCTTATTTTAGTGCTCTGAATTTACTTTTTACAATTCTGTAACCAGCCATTAGAATTAAGAAGTGTTTAATTATACGTGTTCAAATTGAAAATATGTATAAAATCTAGCAATTCACAAAAATGCCCTAGAAATAGATTTTAATCACCATTATTACGTACTAACAAACCTTTATAAATGCTTCAACTTTGTGGCCAGCGCCACCAGAGAAATTAAGTTGCACTCATGTATTATAAGTATCAAATTGTATAAGAGGTCTTGTGCTTTTCAAGGTTGCAAGGCCTCTGTGTACTTAACTATGTATGGAGACCTACTGTACAAGTAGCTTTGCCCCTTTAATTGGGGTACATTAATCATATGGTATTTATCCACCCAATTCCAGACTGAGATATTGCTCCAGGGGTCCTAGGTAGCTGCCAGTAAATTATTTGCATTGCTGTCTTGAAGTTTAACAAGTGTTATAATGAAATCATCTACCTAATGCTAAATAAAGGCTTTAGAATGTTCAAAAAAGTGTGATTTCTTTTAAACTTCCAAATGTACTAATGTTGCCACTTCATGCTATCCCAAATTACATATCCCAAGAATGTCCTTACAAAGAAGTCCTTGTAGCCCGAGAGAAAGCCGCCCAGCACCACAGTGTGAGCAGTCAGTGGGCACTTGGTATTCCCTGGGGTACAGTATCATAGCGCGGTTACTCCTCGTTTGGTGTGAATGCCAAATACAGAATTACCAGATGGGAATACCTGGCTAGAAAAAAAGCTAGAGTGAGAATGTTCTTTTCACAGTGTATGCACGAGCTGTGTCACAGGTCTGAAAGAATGTAAGGTCTTTTTGTGTTCGGTTGTTTGTATACCTCCTAAATAAAAAATAAGAATACAAGATGCTATGCTTGCATGAAGTTTATTGATACATTACGCTTGGTGGCAGACTCCACCTCGAACGTCGACTCAGGCAGCCTCATTTTCAGCATCTGTTAGGAATAATGTAAGTAGTGAATTGTTTAAATTTCATCACGAAACTGAACATGTGAAATGAGTAGAACATCAGAAATGCAAAGTATGTATACCCTCCAAGTTCTGTCACTAAGTTACCTGTGCATTTGCACTGAAATATCCTAGCATTTCATGGATTTCACAATTCCACTAAGTCTAAAAAGGGGATAAATAAGAAATGCATGTAGCTTTAAGATATATTGATAACTTAGAATTACCACCTTAAATATAGTAATTATAGTACTTCAACCTGTCTGTGAATGAAATTTAGCTTTTGTACATCAGATATTCAGCTTGAAATTCCCAGACTGTTTGAACTCACTGGTGTGTAGGTCTAACCCTGTGTTCTATACTCTTGTCTCCCTGCTTCTAACGACCCCTCCTGACTTGTACTCCTTTCCCACATAGCAGCCAGCCAGCGGATCCATCCTTGCCCTGGTTTCTCACTCAATCCAAGTGTCTCTTCAAGTCTCCTGCTTCCTCTTGTGTCCCCACCCATCTCGTCTGGCCTGCTCGAGTGCTGCAGCTCCCAAGATTTCCTGCCCTCGGACTCTGGGCTCTTTGCAAGGCTGACCCCTCATATTCAGGTATCAGCATGTCTGAGCCTAATAAAGGAGGGTCTGTATCAGTAGTGATACCTCGGTTTTCGACCAAATCGGTATTCGACCAGAGATTCGAGAAACTTTTGTCTCGGAATCCGAACAAATATTTGGAACTCGAACTTCCGAGATGAGCCGAGTTGAGCCGAATGGCGTTCATTCGGCCCAGCGCGCCTTGCTTGCGTCATCAGTGTGAGTGCAGAGAGAGAGTCACGCTTTGTGGAGTCACGCTTTCCTATTGGTTTCATTGCTTCGGTTCTCGAACAATTCGGTTCTCGACCGTCCTGGAACGAATTATGTTCGAGAACCAAGGTATCACTGTACCTTGTTTCTGCATAATACTTAACAAATTGTAATGTACTTTTTCTCCTCCTCCACTACTAAGGTGTAGGTTCCTATACACGGGGTGGGGTGGAGGGGCTAGCGCTGGCGTTAAGTACTGGTTGAATGAGAAATTTTAAAATGAGTGATATAAAACTGCCTTATCTATGTTTAGTTCCACTTTGTCTCTAGCTCGTTAATGTGTTTGCAGTCTGTCCATTCTGCTCTAAATACTCAGTCTCGAGAGGGAACAGACTCACCGCATTGACTGGGTATTCCATGTATAATCTCATCTCATGCCTCGCTCTCCAGTTGTGCCCAGCTCCTATGGCTTGTCTGCCCCTCCCCACCCCTTAAACATGCCAAACTGTGCATTTCCACATAAGACTCCTTTTTAAAAAAATAAAAGCCATCCCCTTTTAGAGCATCTTCCACAGGAGCTACACACAGAAACCTGTACTCAAAGGTGATGGGGTTGATGGGTTCACGGGTCAGGCACCGAGTCCTTGGTGCGGGTCATACGGTGCATAGGTTGGTAATTGGTGGTAAGGACACTGGAGATGCTCATCAAATCAGAGTATGCTCTAACTCACTGCACAGCTCAATCAATTTTTAAAAAGATCTCAGTCTCCAGGTCAACAAATCAAAATGCTGAGAAGTGTGTTAAGGTCCACATATGGTGGGAAAATTTACCTGCCAGTTTTAATTCTCTGCTTTGTGCATATTGGCATTAGTCACAGTTATTTCTCCAGCAATACCATAACTTCCAAAGGGAGTACGTTTGTCACCAGATCCTGAACATTTTTTGGCTACATCTTCTACTGGGAAAGCAACAGAAAGGATAACTGGGCTCTTTGGCCTGGGGCCATCTTGTCCACTTGTAGGAGGACTAGCATTCAGGGATTTTCGGGGGTATTTCTGGAATTTCTGATCTGCAGGAACAGCAATGGGTACTTGGACTGCAGCGAATCTCTTCAAGGTATCTGACTGGGAAACAGCATGTCCAGGAAGAGGCTTCCAATCCTGTGCTTCCTGAACATTTGAACCTACTAAAATAAAAGGTGGGGCACAGGTCTTCTTGCAGTCGTCCATCATCACATAAGTTGGAGAAGTAACCTTCGGTGGATTCTGCAGATCCTTAGGATTAGATAAATAGAGGGTTGCTTGGGGGAAAGGCCCAGGTGCAGGTGGCGGTGATGGGCGACTTTGTTGATTCATATCAGTTAGACAGTAAAGGGTCCACGTGTTAGAGTATGGTGGTGGTTGTCCTGCTTCGCTTGTTGCTATTGCTATAAAAAAAAATTTGCAGGCATTAAAGGTTTGGTCTCTGTATCAGGCGCTATGCACAGAAATATCTTTGTAAAATGTTTTTACATATAAGTAAATAGCTGTAGTAATATGTGCCATAAAGCATGCTATAGAGAGAGCTGGATAAATTGTGTTTGGCAATGTGAAAGGAAGAGGCTCTCGCGGCTGGAAACAGCAGCGCAGCGAGAGCCCGGCAGGGCCCGGACGGGCCGAAGCAGCGATCGCATTCCAAGTTGCTGTCTCCAGGTACCTCAACTTCAGACATGGCTACTGCAGGCCCTCGAGGGGAAATGGCAGCCAACAAATCGACGGGACCATTTGTTTAAGCCATTGAAAAGAGGGTTAATGTATCTGCATAGTAATTTTTTCTTTACTAAAGAAATCTGTACTAGGCATCATCTTTTGATCACAATCAAATTATCTTTGGCTCTTCACAGGCCCTATTATCTCCCATTAATCTGTCACCATACAATCTAAGACTTAGAACCCCAGAGACCACTTAAGCAAGGCTTGAAACCATTGCCTGGGTGGCAGGGAAAGGCTGGTTGGTCCCACGGGTTCTTTAAGGAAAGGGAGGTCCAGGCATGCCACCCACCCACTTCCCCAAGGACTGGAGAGTGTCAGGGTTGGTCTGCCTGGTGCAGACGGTGCGGTCCTGGAGCACCGGGTGCTGGCGGTTGGGACGGAGGAGACAAGCTCTGAGGCGGCCCTGGGCCCAGGTGCGCGAGGCTCGCCTCCTGACCACGGGCCCCCCACCCCGGGGAAGCTTTCCTTCCCGAAAAGAAACCGCCACCACTTTGCACGTGATCAAGCTGGTGCCTTTTCAATAACCGGATACTTGGATGTTTTTCGAAGCTAAAAAGAACACACAAGCCAAGTCTTCAGTGTTTTTTACAATAACCTCTCAGCGCTTACTTGAGACAGTTAAGCACCCGAGCACAGTAACTCGGTGTGAACGCTGCTCCCGCCACGCCACGCGTGCGGCCCCGGCCTCTGCCTCTGCCTCCAGCTGTGCAATCCCTGCCACACTGCCAGACAGAATTTGACCTCTAAACACCTGCTTTGTAAACACTTCCTCATCCTGGCCCTGGTAAGAGTCAAAAGTTGAGAGAGTCTGCAAGAGGAATGGGAGAGGTTGGCTCATGCACGTCCCATCTCTCCCACAAGGGAGAAGGGCCCCTGAGCCGGTCGAGATGGGGCAGGAGGGTGGGCAGACACGGTCACGTCTGTGTCACAGGGAAGCAGTGATGACAGTTCACAGCAGTCAGGAAAGCAGCTGGGCGAGGGCACTTGGGAGGGAACTGACGGAAGGAGGCCAGCCATCCCCGCCGAGTCCTGTATTGCTCAGCCGCCTGTCCTTTCTGCTCCCCCGTGTGACAGAACTTCAGCCTGCCCTGTCTTCTCTCCATCCGGCTATGAAACTGTCCCCTCCGCGGCGGGAAACTCCCAGCAGGAAGGAGCCAGCGCCTGACCCAGCGCCCCAAACCTGGTTGCAGAGCTCTCCTGACTCGGTGCGAAAGCAGAGTCAAACACACCACCATCTCGTCCACTTTTTAAATGCCACAGCCTATGTAAACGCACTGCTGGAGTTGGAGTTTACAGTCACCAGTGAGAAATGCCAAGGGAGCACCTCGCGGATTACAGTTCCGCGGGAGGCGTGCTCGGGTCGCGTGACTCGACCTAACGGGTTCATGTTTCACTCTGACACGGTCGGAGATTAACACGCAGGTGCCAGCCGATCAAACTCTGAGGCTATGTCTTGATGTCACTCTAAATTCACTCATGAGGGTAAAATCTCAAATACAACAAAGCCTTTAAATAGGTTTGGCATTTGAAAAACTATTAAAAATAAAGACTTTTGACCAGTCTGCAGGGAGCCTTCCTAGATGGTTACCTGAAATACAGATGTCACCTGAAATGTAATTTAATGTAATTTTTCATTTTGTAAGTATCTAATTTGCTTACCTGGTTCCGTCAAACCTTGTTCGGGTGTTGCTTCCCCTTCTGGTTCGAGTTCTGGTTCAGTAGGACCTTCTGCAGTAGGACCTTCTGCAGCAGGACTGGGGGGGCCACTAGATGATCTTACAAATGCACCTGAGTTCCCAGCTTTTGCGGCTTCCCCAGAGGCCACAGGTTGGACCTCCATCTCCTGGGGTGCAGAGTTTTCCTCCTGCCCCGGGACTAGCGCAATGATCTCCACTTCAAGGTGCAGAGATTTTTCAGAGCCTACTGTTTTGGTAGAGCCCTCTGCATTCAGGGACTGTGTAAGCAGGCTTTTCAGAGAGGTGTCAGAGATCAGAATGGTTGCTTCTGCCTCCATGTGTACTGAGGGATCATGTTTTGCATCCGCCAACTGTGCATAGTTTGCAGAACCTATAGATTTCTCAGATATGCGTGAGGCTGTCTTGCTTACAAGTATGGGACTAACTGGTGGTGTCAGCTCAGTCTCTTTAAGACGAGCAGTAAAAGGGATAAGTATTGGTTCTGGTGTTTGCTCCATATTAGTAACTCCTTCAGTGACAGGCTGATCGTTATAGATAGATGATATATGAACAGTTGATGTAACCCCAGCATCAGCCTGCAGAGAGACCTTAGGAGTTTGAGCATAAGCAGGAGGTTCTTGTTCATCCTGCAAGGGGAATGAGGAAGCCGTTGGTGGTTCAACCTTGTCTTTAGAGTTAGAACCCAAATCTACATGGATAGATGCGTGGCTCACAACCTGCACTGCTAACCCCTCTCCAGAATACACAACAGAAGCGGCCACCACATTATCTTCAGTAGCCTCTGAACTCGGCACCTTGCTGGAAACATCAGGCACTCTTGTTGCCACATCCACCATTACAACGTCATATTGATCAGAATGAATAGATGAAACTTTACCTAACATCTGAGCAGCAAATTGAGCTGGGTCAGCTGGGACATAGGCAAACTCTGGTGGGACATCTGCTGGAGATGGTGATGAGGGTAAGGTGGTAGGGGTGGATGGTTTTGAAGGCTCACGGACTGCTTTAGCTGTCTCCTCGGGCTGTATGAACTGCTCAGCACAGAATGATGGGAACTGAGTGGTTTTGTTGCTAAATAGTGGTCCAGCTATATTGTCCTCCTCTGTGTCTGTAGATTTTTCCATCCGTGTAGGTTCTCTGGAAACTGTGGGTGTTACTCTGGGTTCTTTTGCATATTCTGGTTTCTTCTCTTGTGTCGTTCCTTCTGACCATTTCTCAACTAAAATAACAGCCATGCGATCAATAAACATAGATTCCCCAAATGAAGAATTTTAAAGAAAGCAGTAATAGGTTAAACATTCAAATGCCAATACTATATACACACATACAAAAGAGTTTTCCTTTATTTTACATCTGTGATGTAATATGGAAAGTAATGAAGCTTCCTGTCCTACCCACTGAAAAGACACCTCCCTCAGTTCATCTCCTTAGAAATTAGTGACTCCAAGTAGCATGCAGGAGGCAGCCAATCGATGTTCTCTCTCATCAATGTTTCTATCTCTCTCCTTCCCTCCTTCTCTAAAATCAATGAAGAAAAAAGAAAACTAAAAAAAAAGGTGGGTCTTTCTTTCCATACTGACTCTTGTATTCGTGTTCCTGCCCTCGTCTTGGCAACCTGGTTTTTCTCCTAGCTCTTTGGGTTTACCTTATCTGCTTCCCACCCCAGCCAGCCCCTCCTTCTTAATCCTGGCCCCATGTCTCCATCCCTAGACTGACAATCTGACCTCAATTCTTGACTATACCATTACTGAATGATTTATTTGCCTTTCATAGTGTAGACTATTCCCCAACTGATTGATCATACCAGAATGGAGAAGCATAAAGGACTTAAGCCCCTTCCCCAATAGCATCACCAGAAAATCATTCAAACCTTTTTTTTTTTAGTTAATCCTCACCTGAGGATAGTTTCCCTTCCTTTCTTTTTATTTAGATAGAGTGGAAGAGAGGGAAAGAGAGAGAGAAACATCTATGTGAGAGAGACACATTGATTGTTTGCCTCCTACACGACCCTGTCCGGAGCCAGGGATTGAACCTGCAGCCCAGGTTACGTGCCCTTCACTAGGAATCAAACCCGTGACCCCTTGGTCCATGGGCCAGCGCTCTAACTGCTAAGCCAAATTGGCCAGGGCCCAAACCTTTTTAAACTTAATGAAATTCCTACCTTGGTAATGAAATTCTTAACCACATTGTCTAGGAAAATGCAAGACCTCAATAAATAAAAGGGTCGTTTTGACACAATACCGTCCAGTTAAAGCATCAGTAGCGCCTTGCTTGAAGGCAGTGTCCCGGAAAGCAGCACTGCCACAGCCTCACAAAGTTCGTACTGTTAGTCCAGAAACAGATATAGTCCTTGTTTGTTTAAAAAGTGGACAGCCCTGGCCAGTTTTGCTCAGTGGTTAGAGCATTGGCCCCTGGACCAGAGAGTCCCGGGTTCGGTTCCTGCTAAGGGCACGTACCTCGGTTGTGGCTTGTCCCCGGCCCCAGTTGGGGTCATGCGGGTGGCAACCAGCCGATGTGTCTCTCACATCGATATTTCTCTCTCTCTCTTTCTTCCTCAAAAAAAAAAAATAGTGGATAGACACAGTATGTGTAATAAACTGTAAAAATAATGCAGAAAAACAATTCGCATAAGAAACTGAAATAACTCAAGATAGATTTAATGATATGTACACGTGCTATGCTGCAAGGGAGTCACCACTGCGCCTGATGATCAGCCGCAGTTCGTGAGTATCACATGGCGCCCAGGAATGTTCAGGATCAGTTAGAAAAGTTAACAGGGTAACTCGGGGATCCAGGTGGGCTGGGCCTTCGAGTCTCCAGAAGAGGTGGTTATTTCCTGTCGCTGTGGGAAGCCGAGAGAGGCTGACACTGGAAAGTGGACTCGGGCTTAGAGGAATGGAAGGTGACAGCGGGGCTGGGATCTCACCTGCCACTCTGAAGGGGAAAGGTCAGAATTCACCCAGTGTGGGCTTCAGGGTCTGAGTGAGACGGAGGAGGAGGAGGTGGGACAGCGGGAGACAGTGTGGGGAGAGGCAGCTGCAGTCCCTCTCCCTTCACTCTTTCAGCTCAAGAACTGACGGTTTTCCAGGGGGATCCTAGCCTGTTACTCCACTGTGGAAAGAGCATGAGTCATGCTACCAGGGAGACTACGTTTAGGTTCTAACTCTACCAATTAATATTGAGAAGCGTCCAACTTATTTAATCACTTCCAAGCATCATTTCTCTTGGGTAATATTGCAATGATGTCACGTACCTTATAAAGTTGTCTTACGTGGCAAAATATATTGTAAGTGGCAAGGACAAAACAAGAACTCAATAAATTCCTTCTTCCTTTTCCTAGAATATACTAAGTAGTGAAACTTAGACAACTCTTTTGCCTTAAAATAGTGTCTGAGTTTCTAAAATCCCCTCAATTAATAATTCATGTTGGTTAGAGACTCTCCTGAGAAGACTGAGCGATGGGAGAGCTGTCATTGCTTCACACAGTAGTAAGATCTGGGTTTTTGTTTTTGTTTTAATCTTTCATAATGTTTGTTCTTTTTTTAAAAAAATATTTTTTTAATTGATTTTAGAGAGAGGAAGGGAGAGGAAGAGAGAGAAATACCGATGAGAGGGAACATCGACTGGCCACCTCCTGCATGCCCCCCACTGGGGTTCAGACCCACAACCTGAGCATGTGCCCTGACCAGGAATCAAACCAGCGACCTCGACCTCTTGGTGTATAGAATAATGCTCAACCACTGAGCCACACTGGCCAGGCAATCCTTTTTTTTTTTTTAATTTTTTTTTGTCTTTATTGATTTTTAGAGAGAGAGGAAGGGACAGGGAGCAAGAGATAGAAACATTGATGAGGGAAAACATCGACGGGCTGCCTCCTGCATGCCCCCCACTGGGGAGCGGGCCCACAACCTGGGCATGTGCCCTGACCGGGAATCGAACCAGGACCTCTTGGTGCATGGGTCAACACTCAACCACTCAGCCACACTGGCTGGGCATGGCCGCATAATGTTTTTAGAAATTTTTTTCAATGTTTATTAATTTATTTTTGTTACAGATGTTTCTCTTTTGTAAGATCTGTTTAATCAAATTGCAGGGAAACACGATGAGGATCCAAGAAAGTGTTTCAGAGCATGAGCCACTTTGGAAATGGGCACATGCGGGTGAAATGCCACAACTAGGGCTTGGACAGAGTCAGAGACCATCTTACAGATGCGAGGCTCTGGAAAATGGGGGAGGGGTGATGAGAAACAACGAGAAGTGAGAAAAGTTTACCCCTGTGTCTGTTTCTTCTCCACCTCCCTTATCCACACCTGACTCGACATAAAATGTCCAAGGCTGGAAGACTGGTCCTACGATTGGCCACCCCAAAATGGGGCTCCTTCTAAGAAAAATCCCATGATGACGTGATCAAGTAAACTGAATGCTATGTACTTATCTCCATGCCTTCCGAGCATACGGGCAGCTTGATAGTAATGCTCTAGGCAGCGAACCAACCAATTTGGAGTAACTTTGGATACAGCATCCCCACCGGGTATTCTAATGAAACACACGTCTTTCATGCTCCAGTCTGATAAAGGGAGATGAGTAGGGACTGATGCACTAGGTAGAGAGTGTAGTGACCTCTTGCTCACATCATGGAGTCCTAATATCTGGGGTTGTGTTTAGGCTGATCTAGCCTCATTGAAGAGACTAAAAAAACAGAAATAGGGCCACTTGACTTAGTCCTCAAAGAATGGTTTATTTCCTCATAATGCAAGTCACTGAAAGCTTAGGACAGCCACAATCCTTGGGACCAGTAGAACATCTAGGGCATTCTAGGTGCTACCATCCATATTTAAAACTGGGATCCACATAAGGGAAGTTCTATTAAGATGTCACCTGCTATACTTAACATTTTGTTGTTGTTGTTAATGCTCACCTGAGTATATTTGTCCATTGATTATTTTAGAGCGAGTGAAAAGGAGGGCGGGAGAGAGAAGGAGAGAAATATAGATGTGAGAGAGACACGTCTGTTAGATGCCTTGCACACGACCCCGACTGGGGCTGGGAATCAAACCTGCAACCCAGGCATGTGCCCTTGACCGAGAATTGAACCCAAGTCTCCTTGGTCTGAGGGCTCACGCTCTAACTGCTGAGCCAAACTGGCCAGGGCCCAACATTTTTATTGTAGAGAACTGGGCAACCATGCAGCCAGATTTATCCAGAGCTCCCACGGGAAGAGCAGTTGGAAAATTAAACCAGTAAGAAGGTAGGAGGATGTCACTCAGGGGAGGAAATGCCCACACCAAGTGGGAAGCTCATGGTGCCTGTGTATCGGCAGACAGTCCCTCTTTAGCCAGAGTGATGCTTTTCTGGATATAGGTAGACTCATGCTGTCTCTATCATAGGACCTGAGTTAATGGATACTGTCTCTCTATTTGGGTAACAACAACAGGCAAATAAATGAGCTAAACTGATATTAGATAGCAACACTCAACTTCCATGTTACCTGCCCATCTTCCTGGTGAACATGCGTTCCTCTTGGCTGCCTACAGGGCAACTTGTTCTACAGCCACACTGTGAGCATCCCTTCAGGACCGTCCGTGCGCTGTGCCAATTTCCCTGGCACCTGTAGTTATCCCTGACCTCCACTGAGAGCAGGGCCGCTCCAGCAGTTCAGCATGTTCATTTGAACCCTGAGATGTGGACCAAATTCCACATTAATTTAGTCTACTCGCTAAGCTGAGTGGTGGGTAAATTCTTCAGTAAACAACTTAGCTTCAAAGGCTACCAGTTAGCTCCCGCCTTAGAGTCGCCGACTTGATCACCATGCTCAAACAGGACTGCACGTTGCCGAGCTCTCAAACACGCTCCTGGCGCCGAGGATACAAGCACAAAGGCAATAACCCCGACTGCCTGGGAGTCCAGGCTCATGGGAAGCGGGAGGGGGTCAAAGTCCTAGCCCTTGTCTGGATACCCTGGTAGTAAGCCAACTCCACACCTGTTTCCTGTGGCAAACTGAGAACGCCCTCAGGACCCCGCTGGGAGAGACCGGATCGCACGATAAAATATGACTGGACGGCAATTCACTCAAATGCTGACTCTTGCTCTTCTTAATCTTGCTATTTTTGGCTGTCTCTTTTTTTTTATCCTCACTCGAGGACATATCTCCATTTTTTGGTTCAGAGTGGGAGGGAGAGAGAGGGAGAGAGAGAGAGAAACATAGATGTGAAAGGGACACATCGAGTGGCTGCCACCCACACGACCAACCAGGGCCAGGGACAAACTGCAACTGAGGTACATGCCCTTAGCGGGAACCAAACCCTGGTCTCTCCGGACCGCAGGCCGACGCTCTAACCGCTGAGCCAAACTGGCCAGGGCATTTGCTGTGCTGTCTCTTTTACTGCAGGTCCAAACCATCATGATTTTTACATTTTCCTAGGTCTCACTCCTGATTTCTCCTTATCCTGTCCATGTTATCGATTAGCATCACCAAAGTGGTAGAGAATAAAAGTGGCTGAAAAGCACCAATGCGACCTTTCTCTATGATCATTCCCAAATGGTTAGCCAATGTAGCAAGAATTGTTTAGTTAGTTCCCACTCTGACCATGAGTCTCCATTTTCTCCACCAAATTCTGCCAAAACCTTTTTCTTACCATTCTTTTAGACATGGGTGCCTGACCTTAGGATTTAACCAACATGTTCTCTTTTGCTCATAGTGATCTTCCCAACTTTTCATCATGTAAACTTTGCCTTTCTAATATCGCCCCCTCTGACTTTTTCATTGTTCTGCTGTCCACTTGGTTTCATGTTCACGTAAGACAGACATTTACGCCTGGCAGGTGTGGCTCAGTGGTTGAGCACCGACCCATGCACTAAGAGGTCGCCGGTTCGATTCCCGATCAGGACACAAGCCCAGGTTGTGGGCCCAATCCCCAGTTGGGGACATGCAGGAGGCACTCAATCAATGTTCTCTCTCATTGATGTTTCTCTCTCTCCCTCTCCCTTACTCTCTCTCTAAAATCAATAAAGAAAAAAATTGTTTAAAAAAAAGATAAGAGCCCTGGCCAGTTTGGCTCAGCGGTTAGAGCGTCGGCCTGCGGTCCAGAGAGACCCGGATTCGGTTCCCGCTAAGGGCACGTACTTCGGTTGTAGTTTGTCCCCGGCCCTGGTTGGTCGTGCGGGTGGCAGCCACTCGATGTGTCCCTTCACATCGATGTTTCTCTCTCTCTCTCCCTTCCTCTCTCTCCCTCCCACTCTATCTGTGCAAAAAATGGAAAAATATCCTCGGGTGAGGATAAAAAAAAAAAAAAAAAAAAAAAGATAAGACATCTACATATATACACATAAAACAACTTTATTTTTCCTAAGCAGATATCCAGCCCCATGTCGAAGAGGCCAGAGGGGACCACATTCTTTGAAAACTCACTAACTTTCTGTCTTCCAATCTGGGCTACAGTTAACTATCATGGAACGGGGGAAAAAGGATGGTTAAATTTTCTTTATAAACAAGTCTTCTAAGGAGAGTGTTTATACAGCTTTCCGAAGTAATGTATTTCATTATACTTGGAGTCTTTTTTTACTACAAAATCCAATTCTCTTCAAGTTCATTGTACTTCTCTAAAGATTGGCTACCATGTTGAAAAGAGTTTGAGTCATAGTTTACACAGTTTTAAGTCTCATTGTACCAAATGGTTTTCAAGAGGTGTTTCCCATTTTTGCCTTTTTAAGATTTAGAACTTTCCAAAATGGCAGTCCCATATTAAAAAAAAATATATACAACTGATTCCATAATAAAATATAAAGTGTCAGTGTGATTATTTAAACATAAGTGTGATTATTTAAACAAAATATTTGTGGGTATTTTTTTTTTTAAGTGTGAATGTGTGCTATTATTGATGCAATAATTTATAACTAGTATTACGAAATATTACCATTTGTGATACTTACCTTTAATCTGATGAAACTGTTTAATCAGATCTTTTATATCCAGACAAGCATTTCCTGAAGGAACAAATACAGGAAATCAGATACAAAAACTTCCCAACTTAAAATGCATTTTCACAGCAACAAATATGTAATCTATAGCAATAACAAACCTTCTCTAAACACAATAAGTTCTTTAAAATAAACTGCTGCAAACTGGGTGATGTTCTGCGGATTGGTTTTGAGAACAGCTCTGCTAACTCCCTCGAGCAGAGTCTTGAGGCCATAAGGTACGACAAGTCTGGGCCTTGAAGAAAACATTTTGGCAGGATGTCTGTAATTTCAACTATAATGAAAAAAAACAAAGTCTTATAGTTTATTAGTCCTTCTTAAAATATTTATGACTTAACTATAGTCTCTACGACAAACCTATCTCCTTTTGAAATCATTAGCTTTAGTTCTAATCTCGGTATTTATTCTAGCAAAATGAGCTAATTCTTGATGGTAGTTTTTTTTTGTTTTTTGTTTTTAATCACATTACCTATACATTTTGGATATTAACCCTTTATCCAATGTATTGTTGGCAAATACGTTCTCCCAGAGAGTGGGTTCCCTTTTCATTTTGAAGTGGGTTTCTTTTGCCGTGCAGAAGCTTTTTAGTTTGATGTAGTCCCATTTATTAATTTTTCCCTTTGTTTCTCTTGCCCTAGGCGATCTATCAGTGAAAATTCTGCTACATGTGATGTCTGAGATTTTTCTGCCTACATTTTCTTCTAGGATATTTATGGTTTCACGAGTTACATTTAAGTCTTTTATCCACTTTGAATTTTTTCTTGTGTATGGTATAAGTTGGTGGTCTAGTTTTATTTTGTTGTTGTTGAGTGAAATAAGCCAGTCAGAGAAAGACAAGTACCGCATGATCTCAGTTATTTATGGAATATTATGAACAAAATAAGCTGTCGATCAAAACCAGAGACATGGAAGTAGGGAACAGACTGACAAACCTCAGAGGTAAGGGGGGTAAGGGGGATGGAGAGATAAACCAAAGAATGTATATGCATATACATATAACCAATGGACACAGACAATAGTTTGGGGAAAGCAGGCGGGGGGGGGGGGGGTGGTTAATGGGGGAAAAAAGGGGAGACATCTGTAATACTGTCAACAATAAAGATATAGTTTTAAAAATCACGTTACCAATAGCTTTTTCTGTGCAGATGAGCAATCTAGTATAGAAATTCATGGGAAAAGCCCTACCAGGAAATCCAGGATGATATAAAAACAAAGAACAAAAAACAACCAACCAAACGAAACCTATTTTTGTAAAATTCAGTAACTATTTTGTGCAAGAAAATTTCAAGAAAAATGTATTAAGCTCATTTATCTGTGTCCAAACAACATCCTTCCAAAGCTCACAGACACTGGCTTTTCTGTACATTCATGAGAGTTACAAACCAGGGTTTCTACAAGAAACTGTTTTCCCCCTGCCCCCCATCTCATTTCTCTAAATATATCCCTGAGTGTATTAATATTTAAGTATACATTTTTTAGCTTTAAATTTAATTTTTTCTTTTTTTTTTCTTTTTTTTTATCCTCACCCGAGGATATTTTCCATTTTTTGTACAGATAGAGTGGGAGGGAGAGAGAGGAAGGAGAGAGAGAGAGAAACATCGACGTGAAGGGACACATCGAGTGGCTGCCACCCGCACGACCAACCAGGGCCGGGGACAAACTGCAACCGAAGTACGTGCCCTTAGCGGGAACCGAACCCGGGTCTCTCCGGACTGCAGGCTGACGCTCTAACCGCTGAGCCAAACTGGCCAGGGCTAAATTTAATTTTTTAAAACAATCGGAATACGTGTAGTTACATATGGTATTACACCACTCACCACCATGTGCACCTCTTTTTCTTTATCCTTCCTTAACCTGTGCCCTAGTTTTCTCCTGTCTCTCCCTTCTCTCACCTTTCTAGATTTTAAGTGGTCCCAAGGGTATTGCATTGAAAACGTGTAGTTCTCAGAGTTGCAGAGGGTGCCACCCTAAAGTGTTCACCAGTGTGTACATTGTTTCATTCTAAAAAAACTACTTAAGGCAGCTTACAAATACACAGAAAGAACAAAATTAAAAAGGAAATCAGTCCAGTCCTGGCCAGTTTGGCTCGCTGGTTAGCGTCAGCCGGAGGACCAAAGAGACTCAGGTTCAATTCCAGTCAAGGGCATGTACCTTGCTTGCAGTTCATTCCCAGCCCTGATTGGGGTCGTGTGGGAAGCAACCAGTCGATGTGTCCCTCTCACATTGATGCTTCTCTCTGTCTCTCTCTCTCTCTCTCCCTCTTCCTCTCTCTAGCTGAAGATAAGTGGGAAAAAATATCCTCGGGTGAGGATTAAAAGAATAAAGATTTAAAAAGGAAATCAGTCCAGCCAGTGTGGCTCAGTGGTTGTGCGTCGACCCATGCATCAGGAGGTCGCAGGTTCAATTCTCGGTCAGGACACTTGCTCTTGTTGTGGGCCTGATCCCCAGTGGGGGGCATGCAGGAGGTGGCCAGTCGATGTTCTCTCTCATCGATGTTTCTCTCTCTCTCTCTCTCTCCCTCTCTTCCACTCTCAAATAAATAAAGAAATAAAAGAGGAAATCAGTCCAGATAAAATAAAAATTATGGTAGGAAACATAGGATGATGAAGCTACAGGTAAGTATTCCAATACAAGCCATGGTCAGGGGTGTCAAATCAACCCCTGAGCTACCAAGCAGCCATCACAAAATAGAAAACAGTTTGTTAAATGATTCAGGTATCCTGAGATAAAAAAAACAAATCAGTTGCTTAGGAGAATCACAGCTATTCTGGACACTGAGACCCAAGAGAGATTTCTCCTGTGGGTCCTCTTCATATGGAGGAGACGGTGTATGATATAATGAACTATGTCCTCAACAACATCCCTACAGTAAACAGACTAATGAGCTTCATGGGGTTAAGTGGCAGTTTAGCTACAGCAATTATACAGGGACCAATCTCTACTAAAAAGCAACTAATGTGTCAGAGCAAAATGCTGAATGTTTAAAAGCACGTCATCTTCCCAAAGGTCAGGAAAAAATTCTGGATTGACCAAAACCACCCTTTGAAATATAATTAAGTGTACTGAATATCTTAATGAAAAGTTACTATCAGAATTTCATTCAACAGGAGCTTTACTGAATTAAACCACCTTTAAAAATCAGTAGTGCAGCTTTGGAAGGTGCACATGCCAAGTGTTAAGGGGCAGACAGTAATTATATGTATGATACATATATATTTATGTGTGTGTGTGTATCCATTTTTTAAAAGGCATCCTTTGCATCCCAGTGTGAGTAGATAGGTCATGCTTTGAAAATGGCTCACCGGTAGCCATGATGGAGCCAACAAAAGCCCCTTTCCGTGGGCAGTTAGCAGTTGGTGTTTCCAACTGCTGGGCACTCGGCTATGCAGTGATCCTAGTATTTCTCAACCCAGGCGGCACACTGCAGCCTCACCCACTCCCCGAGAACACGCAGGGCCCGTGGTGCCCCGGGACCAGGAATGCAGAGCAATCCCATACAAGGAGCTGCCCGGAGCAAGCTGAGAAACACTGGCACCACGAGCACACACACAGACTATCGAGGGTCTTTACCGTGACAGTTTAATAATTCTTCCCAATCTCGCCTTTAAAGAGTATTTGTCAAAACCTGTTTTCCAAACCCCAGCCCCACGCCAGACTGAGTTTTTATTTGCCCACTATCCCTGGGGTGACGCCGGCGCAGGGAAAACAGAGCCTTTATGCCCGAGTGAGGGCTTCGGGCCCCGGGAAGCAACCAGCACACACCACGCACTCCCTAGAGACCTAGAGTGGGGGCTGGGGGCTGGGGCCCCTCTGGGCTTGGGCTTGTTTTGCAGTCTAGTTTGTTCGGTGGGGCGGGCAGTGAAGTGTGGGAGCGCGGGTACCCCGCGTCCGCGTGAACTGGTTCAGGAGGCCGGCGGCAGAGGCGAGGCGCCCGGCCCCACTGGCGCTGGCCGGCTGCTGCGACACTCACTGGATGGCCGGCCCCTGCCCGCCGATCTCCCACTCTGGTGGCCCTCCACCTTCCCTGACACTTGAGGAACCGTCCACCATCCCCACCTCGCACAGCGCGAGAGCCTAACTGCCTCCGGGGCACAGGGCGGACGCGCCCCACCTTCTCCTTCCGGCTGAGTTCTACAGGGATTCCTCCTTGCCTCCTTGCTGGCGGCTCCTGGAGGAGTCTGCGAAGCCAGCGGGCCTTTTATACCCCTGGGACGTCAGTGCCTGCGTCACAAAGCCCCGCCGCTGCGCAGTGGCTGGGCCAGAGGCGGGGCCTCGGAGGCCCCAGCCAATGGGGAGCCGAAGGGGACAAAGGCTGGAATCCATGGGCCTGGGAGGCGTGCTTCCGAGTGCCCAGCGCCCCAGGGAAACTGGCCTCCCCAAACTGCCAGGAGGCTGGGAGTCGGTCGAGGCGACAGTGTGCGCTTTTGGTCACTCCACCTAAAATAAGCGCTGGTTTGGAAGGAGAGAGAAATACATTTATGGCAGTTCTGGCTCGCGCCACCACCTCTCCTCTTAATACTACCCCTCCCCTCATGTTACTCTCCAGTCACATTTTGGAAGAAGAATGTCTGCCGCGGTGCACACAACAAACCCTTGTATAAAGAGAATAATTTCACGCAACTCAGTACTTTTCCTCTTGCGGGACTGGCCTGTGGGACGAGAACATGGGCACTAATGCCGAAGCTTCCTGTTTCTCTGTAATTCGGATTCTTGCAATACCTCAGCCACAATCCATTCTCCCCAAACCAGCCCTCCAGCAGCAGGGGCCAGTCAAGGCGCACTGGCTCACGTCGGCGCAGGCCCGCCAAACCGAAGGACACTGGCTCCTTAGAGACCCACGCTCTGCTCTTTCACCCCTGCAGGCTCACGTATCTGTGCCGGGCGACTAACAACATAATAGTGGACCGGATTCTAAGCAGCCTCCATAATAATCCATATTCAAATGTTTAAAAAGCAACAAGTACTAGACACCGACTGTTAAATATCATCAGGGCATAAATCTGACAAAAAACAAACAAAAAAAACAAAAATGATTTTTCAACTCAGAAAAAAATAAGGCTTCCAGAGCACTTTGCAATAGAGGCGACGTGGAAGCCCGGAGGCTCCATCTGTGCTGCACACAGCATTTCCTGGGGGTATTAATTCATTCGTTTAAGCTATTACCAAGTGCCCACTAGTGGCAGACAAGCTCCCTCCTGTCATGAAGATTACATTTTCAAAGTAAAGGAAAAATGCTTTTTAGACTCTATTGTAATAAGTCTGCAGATGGTACTGCTGGTTTTTTTTTTTTTTTTTTGGTCCTTCATCAGTCCCCAGACTCACTTTGGTAAGTAAAAGTGAAATAAATGAGGCTGTCCTGATTTCTGATGGTTGGGTTGATGTCTAACTATCAAAGGTGTAAAGAAACTGAGCTACTACAACCCCAAAGTACAAACATTAGAGACCCCATGTATGGTGTCCTTTGGAATTAGAGACATTTATGCTTGTGTAGTCTAACTTGGTGGGTCATCTTGAACACCTACTAGGTGTTAGGTACTGTGCAGAATACCTGGAACTCAGGTGAGTCTTTCCTCTTTCCACATTTTGTCAGATGGTTTTGTCCAAGTCCCTCTGAAATTCAAATTGTTAATGAAAACACTTAACCCAAAATTTTCAAACCACTGTTTGCTGCTTTGATTTCCAGAACTCCTAATTGTGTTACAATCTTCTTGTCCTTGTGTTTCAGTCACTAGAGACCTAACTAAAATGTGAATCCACTGTTATCTATTGTTCCCTTACCCCGGAACCCCCACAAATGCTTCCTCTGTGGAAGTCCAAGTTTCCTGTTATAACTCATCTTACCATCTATCTGCTTCCAACAAGCCTCTCTAGACGAGACTGGTCCTGAACACACGTTTTCACCTCTGTGCCTTTGCTCATCAAGTTCAGAGCCTGACGTCCTTCTAGCCATCACTCACCTGGCTGTGCCCTGCCCTTCTTAAAACTCAGCTCAGGAACCTCCAGGTTTACAAAGCCGATGGGTTAGCAGCATTTCCTCAGAGGCCCCATGATATACACTATATGACCAAGCATAACCTGGCTATGTGATTCTGTCTGCCTCTTCTTTCGGATTGACTGAATACTTACCAAACGATAACACAGGGTGATGTTTCTCTAATTCAGATCACCTGCATTAAAATCCTAGGCGCTAGTTAAAAATGCCTTCCGCAGCCCTACCTAGAATCTACATGATCAGAATCTCAGTGGACCACTCTGTAGAGTAAAACTTGAGAACCACTGGCCTGTGGGAGAAGAAAGTTAAGTGTAATCCAGACCTCAGCTGGGTTATAGTGTGTCGCTTCTATTTCATACCCCAGTCAACCAGGAGCTCGAGTTCAGCGCCCTTGCCAGTTTTCACAAGGAGGCTAATTACACTGTGCACTGGGTGACTTTTGCACACTCTACAAGAGACATATCTTTTGTGGACCAACTTTCCATTCTCTTGCTCCTTTTATCCTTTTAAAAAATTTTTCTTCCTATCTTCCTCTAAGTCTTCTCCTATTATCTTCTTGGGATGTTCTGGGCTTGACATTTTTTTCCTGCAAAATATAGCACCAACAGGATCCCAAAAATATATAATACCAAACAGTACATCCTGTGTGACTGTGTATGTGTATGTTCTTAACTACAGAGCCATAGGACAATACTTGCCACCACAATTTGCTTAAGGAAGCAAACAACTAGGAAAGTTTACACAGCAAAGGAATACACACACCTGTGTGCGCACATGTGCGTGCGTGTATTTAAAATTTTTTTCTTTATTGATTTTGAGAGAGAGAAGAAGGGAGAGGGAGAGAGAGCTAGAAACATCAATGAGAGAGAACCTCGATTGGCCGCCTCCCACATGCCCCCCACTGTCTGAGATTAAGCCCACAACCTGGGCATGTGCCCTGACCAGGAATCAAACCAGCGACCTCTTGGTGCATGGGTCAATGCTCAACCACTGAGCCACACCAGCCGGGCGGGTAAGTGTATTTCAAAAATAAGGTATGCACTGTCCTTGCATTTTAGTTGGCAGAAATATAAAAGTGCAAATTCTGTAAATAACTTTTATAATATGCAACAATATTCTAATTTTCTGTGACACTTGAAAGTAATAATTCTTTACTCAAATACTTAACTATCATGTACTAAAATAAAAGATATCTAACCCAATAAAAGTAAAATCTTAAATGTATTATTAACCACAAAGGTGCATATTACATTATTATTAGACCATGCCTCCAAGTGTGTCCGATTACAAATGTGGTCAGAGTCCATAAAATATACATTACAGCTTTCTTTCTTCAAAGGCACAATACAAAAATATATTTGACACTTATAAATTAGAAGGTCCATTTTAGAGCCTCTAAAATAGGGAAGGGGAAGGAGTGATGCCAACATAAAGAAAGAAAAAACACATAGATGCAAATAGTTCCACTTCTATTATTTTTTCATCAGCAAGGGCAATTTACACTAAACTAAGTTTCCAGGCGGACCACGGGAGTTCACAGGCTGGGTAAGTCCCAGTACACAGGCTAGGTAAGTGCTGGAATCACACAAAAATGTACTCAGGTTTCGGTGCTCTAATGGTAAGCACACCACCACTGTGATTTTGCTCGAGTCCTTATGATTACCATCTGCCCCTCCCCATGCTCTCCCCCCATGTTAAGACAGAAAAACCACAGACGCTTTCCTGCAGCAGACCTAGGAGAGACCGTGTGTAAACAGACCTGTTCTTTCACTGCTCAAGAAAACCTGCTGGATGGTGTTGTCAAGTTGTCTATTCTGTTCAGTGAGCTGAACACAAACTTACTTGAAATCTGTCTGGAGAAATAAACATTTTTTAAAGCAGTTAATGCAGGAACAACTTTTTTAAAATTATGAAGTACAGGTCTTTATGTATTTTTTTTTTATCCTCACCCGAGGACATTTTTCCATTTTTGTTCAGATAGAATGGAAAGGGGAGAAAGAGAGGGAGAGGGAGAGGGAGAGGGAGAGGGAGAGGGAGAGGGAGAGGGAGAGGGAGAGGGAGAGGGAGAGGGAGAGGAGGGAGAGGAGGGAGAGGGAGAGGGAGAGGGAGAGGGAGAGGGAGAGAGAGAGAGAGAGAGAGAGAGAAACATCAATATTAAAGGGACACATCGGCTGGTTGCCTCCCGCACGACCCCAACCAGGGCCAGGGACGAATTGCAACCGAGGTACATGTCCTCGACCGGAATCGAACCCGAGACTCATTGGTCCTCTGGCTGACGCTCAAACCGCTAAACCGAACTGGCCAGGGCTCTTTATGTAATTTTTGCTGAGTCATAGTTGAACAATATTTGAGCTGAAAATTCAAGTGTCCACTGAAGCAAGAACTTGATGCAGAAATGCTCCCCAGTCCCGAGAAGTCTGTGACATATCTTACAGCCAAGGAGCCATATGCAAGAGCCATATTTTAAAGATTCATAATGTTCTTCCCTTCAGATTAGATGAAACCAGATATCCAGTATTTTTAGACACTAATTTTTCTCTTAGATAGCATCGACGCCCTGGCCGGTTTGGCTCAGCGGTCAGAGCGTCGGCCTACGGTCCAGAGAGACCCAGGTTCTTTGGGATCTGCTCATTCAGTGAATGTAGGATATCAATCTTTTCTCTGACTAGTACATAAAATCATTCAAGGCTCACACCATAAAAATCAATGTGAGGAAACACTTTGGAAGTGGGGAAACATGAAGATCCTTTAGCCAATGTCAGTGAAGAATAATCATCTCTTTCCAAGAAATTATCCCCTCAAAACCAGAATAAGTAGATTAAACCTGCCAACATTCTAAAGTGCTTCATCCATGTTTTATTTTGAAAATAAATATTAAAGTATTAACACTGCGTAAGATCATGCTTCAGCTAAAAGGATATGTAAGTAAATGACACCCCAAGATGATACACTTTAGCTCAATATAATTTGTTGTTAATCCTCACCTGAGGATATTTTTTTCCCAGACTTTTAGATAGAGTGGAAGGTGGGGGGTGGGGGGGACAGGGGGAGAGGGAGGGAGGGAGGGAGAGAGAGAGAGAAAGAGAGAGATTGACATTGATCTGAGAGAGACACATCGATTGGTTGCCTTCCACCTGACACTGACTGGGGCCAGGGATTGAACCTGCAACCCAGGTACGTGCCCTTTGGGAATTGAACTGCAACCCTTTGGTCTGTGGGCCAACACTTTAACTTCTAAGCCAAACTGTCCTGGGTTCATTCTCAAATTTTTTAAAAATCTAACCTTATGATTGAGCTAAGTTAGTCATACAATTATGGCAGAAACTCTTAAGTGACTGAGGTATTTTGATTCTTCAAAATCACAGGTGTGCAGTACTGAAAATTAACTGACAATTAAAATGAGAAACAAAGGATTAAAAATAACTTTAAACTCCTTTTATAATATCAAATAACCTGAGCTAAGGGAAAAATTATGAAATCCTGGTAAAAAGATAGCCCAGCAAATTCTTCACGAGCAAATGTTTGAGGCAGAAAACCTATGTTTATTCAGGAATAATCTTTTCAAGTAATATGTCGAAGATTTCCAAAAGTTGGAAATTACACAATTTATCACAAAGAAAGGGAAACTCCTAAAATGTGGGCAATTGCTGATCTAGTCTATAGACTAGGCTTTCTAATACATTAGCAAAACAGTTTATACCTTTGGTTGTAAAACTATCCTCCATTTGTTTCTACTTGGTTGACTTTCAAAGGAAAAAAGGTTGTCACTTTGAAACATTTTGTAGACAATCTGGAGATAAATATTTTGATGACACAACTTCAGCTGAAGAGAAATCGTTTTTTTAATCAGGAAAACAAGGAATTCTGGGTTATTAACATATATTTTTTACAATAAAAGAATATTCACTTCATGGTCCAGAGACCTGCCTTCTGTTCACTGCTCCACTGATAACAGAATTAACTGGGATACGTCAATTAGCCTTCTGGTGCCTGAGCTGCATGGTCTGGACAACGGGGAGAAATATATCTGTGTCGCATTATTCACAGGAGTAGCTTGAGGGCAAAGTAAAACACTAGAAAGCACTTTATTTTTCAAAACACAATATAAATGCTATGTCATGATATTGTCAATAATTTTACAGGTACCTCAGTGTTACCTGGACAGGTGTGTGCTTACGGTAGGCGTTCCTACAAGATCACAGGTTGAATATTTAGCTTGATTTTATTTTAAAAATAATAAATCACAAAACTAAAATGTTTGAACAAGGTCACTTAACCCGCTCCCCAGGTTGTTAGTTATATTACTATTATCATCATTATTACTTTTGAGCTAGATCTTTACTATGTCAGCCTAACTGGGAAAATGTGTCCCTGGCACAGGTGGTTTTCAGAAGAAAAGCCGATCTGCACTTGAGCTGTGTCCTCTGCTTTTATTTTAAAGTGCAGACCCCAGGTGAGAGACTGAGCGGGAACTCCGGGCCTGTCACTGAGGGACCAGTTCCCGCAGAGAGGCCAGAGCAGCATGGATGCGCACATGCAATCTGTTTTCAAAGTCGTAGCCGGAGTAGTCCTCCTGGAAGACCAAAGAAAGATATTTATGGACTCTCTTAGCTAAGCCTCCTGAAATACTGCAGTCTAAACCACGCTAAGTTTTGTACTTCCCAGAGTAGAGCCCTCACACGCCCACCCAAGGCTCTCCGTCCACTTGATTGTCTTTCCCAAATGTTGAGCTTTGTGTTCATTTTAAAAATGCCAACTGGATGTCAGTAATGCCGTCTTTGTACAATGTTTCTCCTGTGCCTCCTGACACAGTAGCCTTCAACTGTGCTCAATGTAAGCGGCTGTTAGCAATTCTTCATTCACGAATGTAGTTAGGAAAAGTCAGAAGTTATTTCCCACTCAAATAAGAAGAGTGTTTCTAAAGCAGGATGAGCAATTTAATGGGCGAGCCTTATGATATCAGTAATTCCCCTTAAAAATCGAGTAATTGCTGATTCAGTTATCATCACTTTTCCTTTCCAGAAATATCAATCAGAACACTCATTTCACAAAATTTCCTGAATTCAGACTCAAGCGTACAGAGGACAAGGGCCACTGGGAAGAGGGAGATTCAGTATTGTTACCTTTGCTTGAAGAAGTAGAGTTCTGCCTCTTGCTACAGTCTATGAATATAAACAAAAACCCATAGCTCTTAATACTACATTTACAGATACTCAAGCAGAAAACATTATAATACAATATGTTAATTAAAACAATTCACAGTCACAAATGTGAGTCAACTGTTCATTAAATTAAGACTCAATTTTTCTTTAATATAATGATGCTAATAAGTTTACATCAAGGCATTACTTGATAAATAATTTTTCATTATCTTCATTATATTTCTATAAATGATAACAACTTATAAGAGTTATAATAGTTTAGGTTAAGATCTTACAAAATGACCTAAAAGTGGTGATAATGAAAAGGTTTATTTGAAGTTGGTAAGTTACACCTCCTTATATATTTAAGGGTTATGCTACAATCACATTTCTGTTGACTTAACTCGACTTTTATAAAGTCCATATATTTGAAAACTAAGTTCAACTTACAAAAATTAGAACTTTACAAAGCCAATATTATGTAATTATGTAATTAAGCTTCCAAAAGAAGGTATCAAGCAAATGTAGCACTACCGATCCTATTTTTTAAAAAACCTGCCCCATTATACTTATATATACATCTTTATGGTAATTATCCAACTAAGTTAATAATGTATCCTAGCATTTTTAAATCATACACATCATCCTTATTCATTCTCATTACAATCTTTATTAAACTGGCAAAACAGGCACTTTCTATCCTGTTTTAGCGACTAGGAAAAGGTATGTGGTTAAGAGACTTAGCCAGGGGCACACACTAAAGTAAGTGGCAGAGCTACAAGCGTGATGCAGTTCTGTGTCCTTCTGCCCGAACCACACTGCCTCACATCGTTCCACTCTAAAGATGGCCATGATTTCCCCTCAAACAAATCTGAGTCCAAAAGTCTAATTTCAGAGAATAAATGATCTCCTAGACAGACAGAATTAGTAGCTTTCTGGACTCCTCCTACGTGAAATAAAAATAAACATAAACCACTGCTGCACCAGTTTCTTTTAAGTGAAGTCTGCTTTGCGCCTGGCTCACTGGCACATTTTTGGTGATGAACTTTATTCAAGAAAATACATAATACCTTACCTCTGGTTTGTCTAAGAGAAGGCAGCCAAGTTCATAGCAAGCATACGGCTGAACATACAAATTATTCTGACGACACAACTCATCTTTAACCGCTCGCTGAAAGAACTGAAAGTGAGAAGTATCATTGGGATGAACTGATGCCCCCAGTTAGGCTCCTTTTCCTACTCAGGGCTCCTCACATCTTCAGGATGCAAGAAGGGGAACTCATCTCATTTCTGAATCCTGCGTCACATTTTCTCCTCATCCTGCATCTGTGTTCCTCCCCTCCATCCTCGCCCATATGTTAGAAGCGGTTGCCATGCTTGTCTGGTGAGCTTCCTCCAGAATAAGCTACTGACCAGTCCGACCCATTTGTACTGCTCATTTTTCCCGCTGACACACCGGCCTCTACTGGTTTTACTGCTGAGAACGTCTTTAACTGTCCCTAAGTCAGAACATCCCACTTTAATATTTGAAACACAAAGCATACAAGTCAAGAACCATCTCTTGACATATGTCTTGACTGTATCTTGCTGATACTTAAGCATATGATAGAAAATAAGCTCTTCAGAGCTGTGTAATAACTATTATACCCCACACTGAGATACTAATTTAAAATGATAATACAAGCACATCAACACTCTAGGATCTAAAAGCCAAAGTCTCCTATCAGTGCACCTGGACTCTCAGAGACACTGGGAGGGACTTCAAAAAGCCCACCTAACAAACTCAGAAAAATCCCTCCAGTTCTATTTGAAAATAATATATGGTTCTTTTTCATATAATATGTATACAATGTATCCTAAACCAGCAACTTTCAGTCATGCACTGGTAATCTGCAGTTACAGAGACAGGAAAAGTGAACACAGTCACACACCTGATAAATACATTTTTGTATTATCTAACTATGTGACTTCACTCTGCTCCTTCAAAACTGTTTGTACTTCCTCCTCCTCCAGCTGACCGTCATCTTTGGTAAAAAGCTAGCACCAGACAAAAGAATGCTGTTTGCAAAGCACTGTAGGAACCTGAGTTACATTCAAACTAGTATTAACCATCATCACCCTATAGCATAAAGTAGATACAGCTCACTCGCTGTGGGAGGTTGGGTTTCGTTTAGTGCACGTTCATGTTTTTCATTCACAAGCACATGCACAGATTTTCCCAGCTTAGTTTCCTTAGTCGTGACAACAGTAACAGTTTACCTGAACAGCATCTTCTGAGTTTCCCAGACATTTGTGTATGGCACCAAGGAGCAAATACTTTAATCCGATGACAGATGAATCATCCACTTCATGGCAAGCTTAAAGAGAAGTGAAAAGAGCAGGAAGGAAATATGTTCATTTAATTCCTTAAACATCATCAAGAGGTAAGTATTTCTATATACATATATGCATAACCCATGGACACAGATAATAGCAGTGACAGTCTAGCTGGGGAGAGGTGGAGTGAGAAGGAAGGGGGCGCCCTGGCCAGTTTGGCTCAGTGGTTAGAGCGTCGGCCTGCGGTCCGGAGAGACCCGGGTTCGGTTCCCGATAAGGGCACGTACCTCGGTTGCAGTTTGTCCCCGACCCTGGTTGGGTTGTGTGGGTGGCAGCCGCTCAATGTGTCCCTTTCACGTCGATGTTTCTCTCTCTCTCTGTTCCTCTCTCTCTCCCTCCCACTCTACCTGAACAAAGAATGGAAAAAATGTCCTCGGGTGAGGATGATTAAAAAAAAAAAAGAGAAGGAAGGGGGGATCAATGGGGGAAAAAGGCACATCTGTAATACTTTCCACAATAAAGATAAATTTTAAAAAAAAAGTTATTTCATTGTTTATACTCATTCAGTTCAAAATTCTGCCCCCTGAAAATCAGAAGGTTCACCTCCCTCAACCATCAGTCAAAGAAAGGCAAAGATACCAAACTTGAGAGCCAAGAAGACTCAACATTGCATTGACTGTTACTAAGTGAAAGAAGACAATCTGAAAAGGCTACATACTATATGATTCCAACTACAGGACATTCTGCAAAAGGCAAAACTATGGAGGCAGTAAAAAGACCAGTACTGCCAGAGGTCTGGGGGAGGGGGAGAGGAACAGGTGGAGCACCAAGCATTTTTAGCAGTGAAACTGTTCTGTATGATTTAGCAGTGAAACTGTTCTGTATGATAATACCGTAAGAGTGGCTACGTGTCATTCCGCATGTGTCAAATCCCACAGAATGTATAACACAAAGAGAACCCAATGTAAACTATGGACTTTGAGTGATAATGATGTGTCGGTATTGGTTCATCAGCTGTAACACATGTACCACTGTGGTGGGGGTGTTGACGGTTGGGGGGACAGTATGTGTAGGGGAGGGGGAGGGGAGCTACGTGGGTATCTGCTCAATTTTGCTGTGAATCTAAAACTGCCCTAAAAAATAAAGGCTGTGCAAAATATTACTACTAAATCTCCTTTGAAAAAGGTCAGCATCTATGTGAGTAAGAATACATTTCCTAAGAATTAGTTTCTATGAAACCATCTTTCGGGAGGCGAGCGTTGTAGTTTAACCCAGCAGTGTCCTCTGGTAATCCTGCTTCCAGCTGCAGGTTTAAACATCTTCGGCCCCGGGAAGACGAGGCTGTGTGCAGGACAGCTTGAAGCATGGCTCCTCACCATGCTGTCCTCAGACCGGCAGCATCCACAGTGCTCCTACGGGAGCCAGCAAGTCACCGATCTGCCCCGACTTTATAAAACGTGTGGCCACAGTGTCTGCCTTTCCCGTCTCCCTGGGTTGCAGTGTGGAGCACACCAAGTCATTTGCTATAAATATCACTCAAATATCTGCAGGAAACCGTTAGGACAAATGTCACAGCATTTCCTCAATAACCAATAATGCATTACTTTACATGAAGATTTAGTTTATTCTGTGCACTTTCCCTACAAATATAACAAAAATGATTTTATGAAGGTGATAGTACCATAACCTATGGACTTACTTTTTAAAAAAAATCTACAAATCAAAAATGTAGGCTTCTACTTACACTGTTAGGTATTTACTCAAGAGAAATGAGCGTGTAATGCCCACACGAAGAACTAGTACACTTATGTTTGTAGCAGCATCACTTGGGAGAGCTGAAAAGCCAGACTAACCAAACGTCCGTGAACAGGAGGGTGAGCAGAGAAACTGGCTATGTGGAGCCCTACAGTGGAGTCGAGTGCAAGGCGCGAGCTGCTGACGCCGCTACAAGGCGATCGAGCTCACTGGGTATAACAAACAAACAAAGCCAAGCACTAAAGAGTACACGCTGTCCGATCCCACTTCTACGTAGTTCAAGGACAGGCAAAAGTAGTAACCCGTGGAGAGAGAAGTCGAACAGTGGCAGCCTGCGGGTGGGGACTGACTGGGAAGGGGCACGGGGGAAATCTCGGGGGGGGGGGGGGGTCCTGCCTCTTGATTGTGGTGGGGATGCCATGGCGTATATGGTTGTCGAAGCTCACTGAACCGTACTCTTAATGCCTGTGATTGTAACGAATGCAAATCCGCCCCGTAAGGAACAGAGGGCCTTCGGCCTGCAGCACCCCGGGCTACAGCATGGATAACCCCGCGCTCTGCAGCACCCCCGGGCTACAGCATGGATAACCCCGCGCTCTGCAGCACCCCGGGCTACAGCATGGATAACCCCGCGCTCTGCAGCACCCCCGGGCTACAGCATGGATAACCCCCGCGCTCTGCAGCACCCCGGGCTACAGCATGGATAACCCCGCGCTCTGCAGCACCCCCGGGCTACAGCATGGATAACCCCGCGCTCTGCAGCACCCCGGGCTACAGCATGGATAACCCCGCGCTCTGCAGCACCCCCGGGCTACAGCATGGTTAACCCCACGCTCTGCAGCACCCCGGGCTACAGCATGGATAACCCCGCGCTCTGCAGCACCCCCGGGCTACAGCATGGATAACCCCGCGCTCTGCAGCACCCCCGGGCTACAGCATGGATAACCCCCGCGCTCTGCAGCACCCCCGAGCTACAGCATGGATAACCTCGCGCTCTGCAGCACCCCGGGCTACAGCATGGATAACCCCGCGCTCTGCAGCACCCCCGGGCTACAGCATGGATAACCCCGCGCTCTGCAGCACCCCGGGCTACAGCGTGGATAACCCCGCGCTCTGCAGCACCCCGGGCTACAGCGTGGATAACCCCGCGCTCTGCAGAACCCCGGGCTACAGCGTGGATAACCCCGCGCTCTGCAGCACCCCGGGCTACAGCGTGGATAACCCCGCGCTCTGCAGCACCCCCGGGCTACAGCGTGGATAACCCCGCGCTCTGCAGCACCCCCGGGCTACAGCGTGGATAACCCCGCGCTCTGCAGCACCCCGGGCTACAGCGTGGATAACCCCGCGCTCTGCAGCACCCCCGGGCTACAGCGTGGATAACCCCGCGCTCTGCAGCACCCCCGGGCTACAGCATGGATAACCCCGCGCTCTGCAGCACCCCCGGGCTACAGCATGGATAACCCCGCGCTCTGCAGCACCCCCGGGCTACAGCATGGATAACCCCGCGCTCTGCAGCACCCCCCGGGCTACAGCATGGATAACCCCGCGCTCTGCAGCACCCCCCGGGCTACAGCATGGATAACCCCGCGCTCTGCAGCACCCCCGGGCTACAGCATGGATAACCCCGCGCTCTGCAGCACCCCCCGGGCTACAGCATGGATAACCCCGAGCTCTGCAGCACCCCGGGCTACAGCATGGATAACCCCGCGCTCTGCAGCACCCCGGGCTACAGCATGGATAACCCCGCGCTCTGCAGCACCCCCGGGCTACAGCATGGATAACCCCGCGCTCTGCAGCACCCCGGGCTACAGCATGGATAACCCCGCGCTCTGCAGCACCCCGGGCTACAGCATGGATAACCCCGCGCTCTGCAGCACCCCGGGCTACAGCATGGTTAACCCCGCGCTCTGCAGCACCCCCGGGCTACAGCATGGATAACCCCGCGCTCTGCAGCACCCCCGGGCTACAGCGTGGATAACCCTGCGCTCTGCAGCACCCCGGGCTACAGCATGGATAACCCCGCGCTCTGCAGCACCCCCGGGCTACAGCATGGATAACCCTGCGCTCGGGCGGGCGCCTGGCTCCGGTGCTGCCCCTCTGCCCCCAGGGGACTGCACCCCTTCCCCAAGCGCCAGACTTGTGCTCTGCGTCGGGTAACCGGCAGGACACCGAAGCACGCAGCCCGAGAAACACGGACGCGCGGGCCCTGGGGCGGTTCTCACCTTGACTCATCCGCTGCAGGTTGGGCAGGGAACAGTTGGGCAGGGCCTTCCACAGGTACAGCACTTCGATGGCGGCCAGCACGCACAGCGCCCGCGGCGGCGCCTGCTTCCGGAACCGGTCTGCCTGCAGGGGGTCAGTACTTAGGCTGCGTATTTTTTTTAAAAATACAAATTCAAATAGAAAATACGCTTCGGAGACATTTAACAGCACAGAGTTCATATTCGACTTGAACAAGCCCCTCCTACAGAGTTAAAAATGAAAAATGTTCACTTTCCAATTTTTCACATATTGGGAGATGTGCCTTTCATTCATTCTTCAACTCCACCTGTTATCAGGACTCAGCAGATATTCTGCAGACTTGGGGATGAAGGCTGACTCATTCAGTGGCGATCAAAGGGATCTGTAAGAGCTGGGCGGCAGGGTCTCCAGGGGTGTGAGGCGGGCGCACTACCAGGTGCCTCTCAGTTGTGGTTTTGTTGACCGGCTGACTCTCCGCCGACTGCAGTGCTCTAGGGCATCCGCCTTACCGTCCAGTTCACGCTCAAACTGGGTCTCTGAAGGCTCGTTCAATACAAACGTGTAGAACGAAAATCATGGAATACTTAGGATGTGACAAGGTGTCACGATAATTCAGCTAAATTTTATTCTTAAATAAATCAGGATAAATTAGGGACACTGTCCCTCCAGTCCTGGACCTTTCTGCTGGTAAATTTGATGCACACTATTTTTTTCTTCTTTTTTTTTTTTTTGTTAATCCTCACCCAAGGGTATTTTTTTCACTGATTTTAGAGAGAGTTGAAGGGAGAAAGGGAGGGAGGGAAGAGAGAAACATCGAGGCAAGAGACACACATCGATGGTTGCCTCTCGCACATGCCTGACTGGGGCCAGGATCAAACATACAACCCAGGTACGCCATGCCCTTGGCTGGGAATCGAACCTGTGACTCTGGTGTATGGGCTGATGTGCTAACCACTGGACACACGGGCGAGGGCATGCATACTATTTTTTTCCTTAATTAGGTCAAAATTGAGAACCAACGGTCTGTACCTGGTGCCCAGGGTCTACGTATTTGTATTCTTCTGAAACTACCTAACTCTTCAGACAGATCCTTTCCCTCTCCAGGTATGCTCATTAGCTCTACAGCATCTGTAACATCTCTACTTACTCAAAACAAAACAAAAGGCCCACAACTGTTTTAATTATCGATAGCAAAACAAGCACTTCCCATTCGGAGCAGAAGCATGAGCACAGGACTGAATTCTCTCCACTGTGGTGAACAGCATTCCGCGTGGCAAGTAAGTTGCCAACTTTAAATACGATTTCCCAAAACTTGGCAAAGGTAGTTTGGTTACCAACGCCCATTACAAACAATACCCCAGATCACCGGGCCCCATTATACCTTTTTCACTGAGAACTGCTCAATCTGATTGTTTTTCCTTTTGAAGAGTTTCTGAACTTCCTTAAAGACAAGCTGTGCTCCATCCTCATCACCAGTGGCCCCCTGACAAACTGTAAGAAACCAGCATTACATTTCTTCAGTATTTGGAGGAAAATGCCAATAAGGGTTACCTAGGTTGGTGATAGCTGGTATGTTACCAAAGAAATGGGAGCAAATGTTTTAAAAGACTGTTATACAAAGGACTACACCATCCTGCCGATCATCATTCCACCAATTTAACAACTATTTTCCAGGTGCTAGGACCCCAGAGCTTTGGTGGGACATAAGGGAAGGCCACATCCTAGTGTTCTTGCTGGGGAGATGGTCTTATACACAGCAAAACCAGTTTGCTGGGAGCCTATATGCTCAGAAAGTAAGATAAAGAGGAGCCTAGAAAAAAGCAATGAGGAGCCGAGGGGATCATGAAAACTTTATGGTACAGCATCCCTGTGCCTGGAATAAGTCATGAAAACCCTACATATGTTCAGTGGCATCTATCATCTACAAGCCACAAAAAATACATGTGTAAAGAAAAAATACACATGCTTACACCCTGAAGAAACAAAGTTCAGTTAGAGAGATAAGAGATACACAGTCTCAAGGCTACAATATACAAAGTGATACGAGTCTTTTCTTTCGGGTAGGAGAACCAGTGTGCTTTAGGGACAGCTCAGAAAGGAAGGGATCATTTCTCTTTGGAGGATTAAGGACGCTTTGAGGAGCCAGTGTCGAGCTGAGCCTTGGAGGGGATAAGATTCTCATAGTCTGCACAATAGCCTCGTCCCATCTCAAGCTCCAGCAAAGCTTTAAAAATGAAAGAAATTCTGATACATGTTACAACAGAGATGAACTTGGAAGACACGCTAAGTGAGACAAGTCAGACACAAAGACAAATACTGTGTGATTCCACTTGTATGAGGTTCATGAGGGCTCCAGACACTCAGGCAGCACAGTGCTGGCTGCAGGAGCTGCAGGGGTAATGGAGAGCTGGTGTTCACTGGGCACAGAGTTTCAGGGATGATACCCTTCTGGAGGCAGATGTGACGATGGCTGCACGGAAAACATGGATGTACTTAATGCTCCTGGACCAAACACTTAAGTGGTAAAAATGGTTAGAATAGATCTTAGGTTACATATATTTTACCACAATTAAAAAAAAAAAAAAAATAGTGCAAGGGACTAAGCCCACGGTGGAGTGTTTCTGGTCCCCAAATGCCCATCTTCTCTAGCTCGACCCGTGAACATGCCCGTCTTTCTCGGCCAGCTCAAATGGCAGCTCCTGCAAGATGCCTCTCTGATCCTCGGCAGAGCGGTCCTTCCCTGCCATGTGCTGTTCGCAGTGGGGCTATTCACAGATCCTATCGTCAGCACCACGCCCCTCGCAGACGCAGAGACCTTACCTACTCTCACTGGTATAATCCTGGGCTTTCCAATCTTTGGAGAACAGAGGCTCCTCTTTACAGCCACACTTATTTATTTTTGTATTTGAAGAAATGCATTTATTTCTTCATGTTCTATGCTCAACTAGATTTTTTAAAATAGCTGCGCAAAATTGACTACGCGACGCACTTACACCGTAAGGACCGCTGGGCTGTTGCGCAGGCCTCTCGCTTGGCCCATCCGCTCCTCAGCGTGTCGAGGCCACTCACTAAAGAGCTGCTACTTTCATCTGAGATGCTGAAAACTCTATAAAACAACTCTTAAGGTGTGGAACACAGTATATTATCCAGCCTATTGATAATAACCCTATTCAAACACAAACTACACAGCTATATAAAAATGGATGTCCCGCTGGGATTGCAGTAGGCAGTGTGGGTATGAGCGGACTAAAGCCTGACTGCTAATGGACCGCAGCTTTAGAATATCCCATCTATACATATGGGCCACTGTTAATTCTGTCTTATTTTAAATAATCAGTTAAGGAAATGGAAGGACAGGAGATATTTCATTAACTCCAACTATTCAGAGAAATGAGAAATATTTAAAATAATGTTTGGACTGATCTTGCATTTTAAGTAAAAGAATCACTTATATGGCTGTGTATGGAGAAGTCGTCCTTAGAGGCAGAGAATGGACAACCACCTCTACAATTCTACATCACAATGGCACTGTTTATCTCAGGGCGCAGACAACCCTTTGTCCACCAGGTGGCAGCACATCTCTATCTCACACAATGGCAAAAAGTCAAGAAATCCTCATATCCATATCAGAAATTACAGATATTTCTGCTATAATGATATGCAGTGCTGGAATGGCCTGTGTTCTGCAAAATCACACTGTAAATAGAACAAGGTTAACAGGTAAAACAAGGTTGAAGCAGACTACTCAAACTCTATGCAACTTGGTAACCAAGGAAGGCACTAACAATCTTAAAGATATATAAATGCAATAAAAATGCTTTAAAATTCTTTAAATTCCTAATAAATAATATATATTATTTATAATATATAAATAATAAATAATATATTTTATATATATATATATAATAATGAAGCAGAGGGGTAAGGGTAGGTTGCTACTTATAGCAAAATGCACAAAAACAGGGAGGACCTGGCAATAAGTATTTCCGAGTAACAGAACGTAACCACACCTGCCCAGAGAGGGACACAGGGGAAGGGGCCCGGTGCATATTGCTGAAATGGTCAGTGAACACGTACTATGCTGCTATTTACTTGGCAGCACTGAACATTCACGTGCTGGGGAAACTGAGGAAGAACACAGCTTCTGCCTCCTCCTGCCATGATTCTCCATCTGTGGACGCGCGGGAGCTAACTCACACCAGAAGTGGTCTACTCACCTGCAGTTAAATAGGCGTAATAGCACTGAGACCACCTGGACTCATTTTTTAGCCTCTCAAAGGAATCAAACGCATCCTTGAAATTCAGCTCTATCATGCTGCACCAACCTATGAAAGAAACATTTTTAGTGTACAGCCTCCAAATACTGTCGTGAGCTTCACGTTCCACCTCTAAACTACAAATCTCCGATCCTATGATCTTTCTGTGAGCGTTGTATGTACACTACCTAGAACCTTTTTTTAAATTATTTTTTTCTCTTAAATATTTTCAATGTGCCATTTTGAGTAAGACGAAGCACTTCTGATTTCACAACCGGTTACACAGTGCAGAAGAAAGTGATCTAGATTTCTATAAACACACTCCAATTTGTTGCCTACATTGTAAGATTAACCCAAGCGCAGCAGTACTGTCCAAGAGTAGGCACAGGCAGACAATGCAATACCCTCGTTCATTGCGGTTAATCAGCTCCAGACTCTACCGCGATAAATGAATTTCCGCGAAGTAGGATTCTTTATTTATTATACAGTCGTCCCTCGCCACTATACTATACTATACTGTGTTTGAAAAAACCATGATAGAGGGAAGCCGCAAAAATCGAAGCGTGAAGTGGTGAGGGACGGCTGTACAGAGTGACTACCTCAAAGTCTCAAAGCATTCACCTGCTCACTGATGATCACTATTAATTCTCAACCCGGGGTGAGAAGCAGAGAGCGAGCAGTCAGAAATGATCTGTCCACCTTCCCTCTGCAGGCTAGCAGGGGAGCTGAGAAAGGACCCCATCTTTTCCAGATCTAAACACCATTGGACTGGCATTCTGGTAAGGAATAGTGGCAAGGAACTTACCCCCACTGCTGTAACAGTACCTCCCACCCACTCAGCCCCTCTGCGTGGCCAAGGCCTGTGCCAGGCACTGATACGATTCTGTCTAATCCGACTACAGCCTTGCAAAGGTGGCTGATGGTGTGCTCCTTTTACCAAAGAGAAAACCTATGGCACGGGGGTCCTGTGACTTGCTCAGGGCCACACAGCTAACAAGAGGGAAGACCTGAGGATCGCAGGTCGGTCCTCCTTTCTGTCCATGTCACTGCCTCCATGAAAAGAAACCTCTGGTAGCAGGTACGCCAGGAAGCAGTTGTGCTGTCTGGGACCTGCCATGTGTACTATGGGGGGGAGAGGGATCAAAATTCAGTGTCAAATCTATGGGACCGAAAGTATGAGGTCGACATATCTTAGAGTAAAAAGTGAAATTAATTCTTTTCATCCCACAAGATTTGGATTAAATGCAAAGCAGAGGTGGGAGGTAGCACTGAACCTGAGTAAGAAGCCTAAATTCTGATGTTGCTACTTTTCTGCCTTCAGATGCAGAGGTCTTAGTGCTGGCTCAGGGTTTTCGAGGCTTCCTTCGGCCCCAACATCCTGTACTGCCACAGGCCTTTAAGCGGTGCGTGAAAAAGGCCACCAGAGCTGGGTCTTTTCATTCAAGTTCTTTGAAACACGTTCTGCCCACGTAACGGCTACCAGACTTGAGATTGTGTAAAACATAATTCCCACTGGATTATACCTCATCTCCCCTTCCTAAATATACAAGGCATTAAACACATAATATCACTTACTGGGCTCATGCTAATATTTTAGTTTGTACTTTTTTTTTTTTTGGTTAATTCTCACCTGAGTTTATTTTTTCCATTGATTTTTAGAGGGAAGGAGGAAGGGAGGCAGAGAGAAAGGGGGAGAAAGATAAAAAAGAGACATTGATGTGAGAGAGACACATCAATTGGTTGCCTCCCACACAATCCAGACCAGGGCTGAGCATCGAACCTGCAACCCAGGTATATACCCTTGACTGGAACTGAACCTGCTACCCTTTGGTCCACAGGCTGACACTCTAATCACTGAGCCAAACCAGCCAGGGCTTCACTTTTCTTTAAAAAGATTCAAAGGCCCGGATGGTGTAGCTCAGTGGTTGAGTGTTGACCCCTGCACAAGAGGTCGCTAGTTCAATTCCTGGTCAGGGCACATGCCCAGGTTGTGGGCCTGATCCCCAGTGGGGGGCATGCAGGAGGCAGCCAGTCGATGTTCTCTCTCCTCCCTTTCTCTCTCTCTTAAATTAATAAAGAAAAAATGTTTTTTAAAAAAGTCTTTCACAAAAAAAAATGACAGATTCAGGACAACTATGTCCGTGGAAGGCAAGTGGCGGGCATGGCAGGGCCCTGAGCCGACAGGCGCCAGCGGCCTCCCCAGTTCCCTCCACTCCCTCGTCCAGCTCTCTGCAGATCGCCTTCTGAATCCCAGGTTCCCCTCCAATTCCCATCACTACCTCCTCTTTTCTCTCCTCCTTTTCAGTGAGCTGTAGGGTGTGACCTCGTAGCAGGGGGCTGACGTTCCAGAACGCATGAACCCCTTACTAAAAACCTGTTGCAGCTGTGGCTTCCAGCCCCAAGTTGTATTAAAGCGTCTCGGCAAGTGCTGCATAAAGGGATGATGGGATTACTCGTGAAGCCAGACAGGAGGACTGTAGTGCAGTCAACAACACAAGCACAGCGAGTTTGGAGAAGGAAGAGGAAATCTCAAGGAAATAAATAGTCCTAGGATTGTCTATAAACTCATCTCCAGGAGGGGAGAAGTCAAAAGCAGCAGCTAACGTGTGGGGAGGGCCTTCTGCAGGTCGGGCTCCCTGCCTGACGCTCCTGCTCTTTCCTCTGAACCTCACACTGCGAGGAGCGCAGGCACCTTAACTCCAGGGCCTCAGCCAGGGTGCAGGCAGCGCGTCCGAGGTCCCTGAGCTGGCTGGTGGAGAGCTGGGCTGGAATCCTCGAGCCAGCCTCTCCTATGCTACGTGTTTCTTCCCAGGTCAACGCCGGTAGGCGGGAGGAGAAAACAGTTTTGAATTCTAATGCGCAGTTGAACAAGGTATTTACAAATGGTTTTGAGTCCATTCATTTAACACTGACTGACACTGAGAACACCTACTTCTCCTAAATCCAAAATATTATAAAGAATAAATTATAAGGAGGTAATGAGAATCGGTGAGATCGGCCTCATCGCTCCAGCTGTGATAACAGAGCCCTATTATTCCACAGAGACAGCAATCATTTTAGAAAGACGCGGCTGAACAGCACTAGTGACGACAGTGCAGGCTGCTGCGCGCCGAGCGCTGGACAGGTGCTCCGTATTTACCGATTTCGTACAGGCAGACGTGCTGGATTTCTCTCTGATCCACCGCGAGTTCCAGAGCAGTGTGGAAGGAAGTCAAGGCACTGTTGATTCGACACTGAGGGGAAAATGAAAATCAAGTTACTGGCTAACATCTGTCATCAACATTTAATGTCGTAATTCAAAGCATCTTTTTCCTTAACGGTTACTTAAAACCAACTGAGCAGCACAGAAGAGAGTGACTTAGAGTTTCTTGGGAAAACACCCCCCTTTGCCTCAGTTGTGAGATGAACCTCGCACAGAACCCCTCTGTTGGTGCTGGAGACCCCCCGGTGAGGACCCAGCTCACACCCATCTCCCGACCGACCGCCCTCCCCACAGCCTTGGGCAGCGCAGCCTGTCGTAGCGTCACGCTGGCCACCTGGCTCCTTGTCAGCACGTAAGCTGTGCGGGCACAGGGACTGCGTTTCATCTTCCTGGTGTCCCCACCCGGGACCCAGAGACTCGTCAGTGCCCGGCCCTGAGCGCTCCCTCCCTCACAGCCTACAATGCTGTCCTCCGACTGCTTCGGGTTGTCACATCTCCGCTCCCAACACCTAACAGGTTCTCTGAGGAGGCAGATCCCGCTGCTGACTTTTGCATTTATCGGGCTCTGTCTAGAACCCAACAGACTCGCCAATGTCTGTTCTGCTTGTTCCTGATTAAATGCATTGTGTTTCCTTTCACTACAAGTCTCTCTTAACATCTCTCCATCCAACGCCACAGCACCTGACCAGGGCACCAATAACACATCAGGATGAAAGGGTGAGAGTAAACCCTAAACATGGCAATGGCAGGTGTTACATGTCATGCGCCAACAATAATATAAATCCTAGGTGCCGAAGACCTGCCGCAGCCTGCTCGCAATGACACACGCCTAGGAGCAGGGCCAGCCTGCTCCCCCGCCTGCACTCGGCCCTCCGCCCGCCTCCCTCTGCCGCTCCTGGCCCCTCCCTTCCCAAGGCTCCCACTGCCCTCTTCTCCCGGGGCAGCCAGGCAGGGGCTCGGAGGGTCTTAGCGAGGGCTGCCAGCTTCCCTGGGAACCAGCCCCTACCACACTCCTCCTCCCCTTTAGCGAGGCACAGTCACTGTGGGAGGCCTTTTGGACACAATGCACCTCACAGATGAGTCAGCCAGCAGATCCGCAGGACAGTCTGTGACTCAGGGACATTGTAAGCCAAGTGACTCACTAACCGAGGCCATGGCTGGCTCAATAACGGCTCGTGCTCCATAGGAACACTTCACTCTGTTGTCAGGAAAATGCGGACAGTCGCGTTCAATCCCTTCGCACCATCCACAATGCTGACAGTACATACAACGTCACCATTCCACTAATTCCTGTGCCCACGTAGCCTAACACAGAGGGAGCCTCAAAGAAATATAAGAGAGGCCCACAACTCTGCAGTTAGACATGCACACTGGTTGTAAGCACAAGGCCAAACTACCAAAGAGGTGAAAAACCAATCTTTTATGAAGAACATGTGTGTGTAGAGAGAGACCTGGACATTCATTCATACCCCCAACTTTCCCTTTATGATCAACGGTTCTTTTCCTGCAGCATACATGTACTAAATTTAGTATATTTACACAGAAAACAGCGTGAGTGCTTCTCCATTTCGTGCATCTCCCCAGTTCACTAACTTAATGACAGTCAACTATCACATACAGGATATTTCTGGACGGCCATCACTACCAAGCTGTCCCCAGCTGGAGTTTAATGCATGACAGTGCAATGACACCATGCCCTTCAAAGGACAGATAACTACTCGGTGAACGATTATCTGCTGGGCAAATGCTATGTGCCTGGGGTGGTACAAGGGCTCTGCAGATGCAAAGGCTAGTCAAAACAAAACTCTGACTATAAATGAAGTAAAAAGAAACAAAGTAATATTTGTATCAACATCCTTTTCTCTTAATTCGTTCAAAAACTCTCTGAGATACACTAGTATTAGTTCCATTTTCAGATGAAGAAACTGAGGTTCAAAGAGGTTAAGTAGCTTGGCCAAGGTCAACAAGCTAGCCACTGATTAGCATTCCAACTCTTCTCTCATTTCCTCCAGAGTATGCTTTTTCTCAGGGAGTGTATGCAGGTATGGTTAAGCATCTTGAGACGAGGTGGGCCCTGAACTCCATCACAAGTGCCCTTATGAAAGGGAGGCAGAGAGAGCTGACACACACAGAAGAGGAGGCAGTGTGACTACAGAGGTACAGACTGGAGTAATGTGGCCACAAGCCCAGGAATGCAGGCAGCCACCAGGGTTGTAAGAGGAGTGATTCTCCCTAGAGCCTCCAGAGGGAGCACTGCCCAGCCAAATGCCTCGACTTCATCCCAGTGCAGCTGAATTTGGACTTCTGGCCTCCAGAACTATGAGAAAATAAATTCCTACTGTTATAAGCCACCAAATTTGTGGTAATTTGTTACATAGCTTTAGAAAACTAATACGGTATATTTCTTTAAAAATTAAGAGGTACCATGCTTTTTTGTCAGAACACTCTAACAGAAATAGCAAGTACTGAGACCGTTATTAGATCTTAATCACATTATCCCAAGAGCAAGCATAACTCCAAAATTAATTCTAGTTCTATTCTGATCACTCATTGAGGAATCACAATGAACAGTTATTGAAACAGTGGAAATATATTCCCCCTTATTTTTCACCAAATAATTTAAAATAAAACGATCTGTAGGAGTTTTTTAATCCACGACGCAGCAGAGAAAGGAGAATTATCCTCAATTTGATACTCATTTCCCAGTTTAGTTTTTTAAAGAAATACACATCCTGGCCTGTAGAGAATATAGAAAATGGGCTAGTATGATAAAGCCATGAAGTCAAGAATTAGACAGTAAGTACCACATAACAAACTTCTGTCTCAAGAACTGTGCGTTGACATGCTGTGTCACAAAAACCACCTCCCAAAAGCTTCAGCTTCCTCACTGGTAAAATGAGGAAACGTTGGCCAGTTTTATCTGCTTCCAGAGGAAACCACAGAGAGAAGTGCAAGTCTTTGCTGAATTAAATGGAGCATATCACTGTCAAATTAAAATCAGCACAACTGATAGCTCGTGCATTGTTGCTACAGAGATATAGCGTGTTCTTCCAGTTATTCAGGACTTCTTTCTTGACAGGTGTACTCCTGGGCACTTTATACTGTGGCAACTGTAAAAGGGACCTGCTCCAACACTTTACTCTCTAAGTGAGTGTTGCTGGTGTGCAGGAAAACTTTGGATTTCTGCTCAGTGACTTGGCATATTTCACATTATTATACTCTCATGAATTCTCACAATTGTTTGTTTTTGTCTTGGGTTTTCCAGGGAGATATTAAAAGCATTGGTAAATAATAACAGCTATTTCACATTTTAAAAATTATTTACAATAAACTTAAATAATTGGCAAGGACCCCCAGCTAAAATACTGAATGTTAGCAAGCACAGCATGCATCCTTGCTTTATGTAGTCCCTTCTTTAACAAGGATGTTCTCAAGTTGCATCATTAAATATAGTTTGCTACACATTTTTAGTAGATGCCATTTTTATCAAATAGAGTTCCTTTCTATTTCTAATTTGCTAGTAGTTTGTTTTTTTAAGAACATTTTATTAAGTGTCATTTGAACATCTGATAGAAATGTATGGTTTTATGCATTACTTCCTTAATGCGGGAATAGCAGAAATACATCCCCTATTAGATTATAATACAGAATTCAAAAATATAATATTAGATTTGATTTACTAATATTTATTTAGAATTTCCATATTTAGAATGAAGTTGGCCTATACTTCTTCCTTAGTGCCCTCCTGAGTTCTGGTATCAGGTAATGCTAGAACTTGCTGACTTGTAGAAAATATTCCTATATTTTCTATGCTCTAGAATTAGGTAAGTAACTAGTTCACTATAAAGCCATACCTTTCAATGGAATAATTAAAAATGTTTAAATTACAACAGTTTAATATTTTCTTTTAATAGGCACACAATGTAACAAAGAATATTAAATTTCAATTAATAGCACCAGATTCCAGTGCCAAACTTCATAACCAACACAACTGTGGATCTTCAGGAATCATTTGTTATTGATACCCTCGAGGGGATGTTGCTTGAAATTTCGGCAGACGAGCAGGAAGCGGAAAGGAGATGGACAAGGGGTGGCCAACGAACCCGGAGGAAAACCGGGAGCAAACAAGATCCCTGAGGCCAGAGAGCGCGAGAGAACGGGGAAAAAGCAACAGTGAACTGAAATCCACAGGGAAGGAAATTAATCTCCGTAGAAATATGGTTGATGAGTGTGGTGTATATAAAAAGAGATTACCGAGCAAGTGCAAAGGATATAAAAGAGGCCTCTGAAATTCCTAATAAAATTCCATAAAAGAAAGTACTACCCAATGTGAAAAACATGAGACATGAAAGAGACTTTGCAAATAAAAAGATGGTGACCTTTCTTAGGCAATACGGCAGGGATTTCAGCAAGTCCCTAAGAACTGCATCACACTGAATCGTGTTACTGCTAATTACACATAGCAATTGCAGATCAGTCAATTATACACAGATTTCTGTACCACAGGGATGTTCTGTGAATCTCCACGTGTCCTTTCATGGTCTGTACCAATTTCTGACATAAGACCTCCCCTAGAGCCTATTATGAATGACCAGAAGATAGAGATCACCCACTGGCAATTATAGTCGATACTCCACTATCTAGCAAAAGGTAAACAGCAGTTATTTCTGGAATGCAAGAGTTTTATCTGCTCTTTGATATGCTTTGAATTTCACCAATTTCACCGTGTTCCCAAATGAATAGGCATTATTTAGACATAACAAGGTAGCTGAAAATATGTTCTGAAGCTGAGCCTTTAAAGACACTGACTTAAGAAGCCTGTTCTGGGCTCATCATCATCATCAAACCTAATGTGTGGCACTCTTATCACGTGACGGGTAAGACGACAAAAATCTTGGTGGTACCTTCGAACAATCCGTGTGCTTTGACGAAAGCTATGCATCTGTCAGAGGTGGAGACACTGAAATGAACCCGTTTGTTCTGACTCCAGAGCCGACATTCTCACACCTCCGTGCGCCACTGCATCCTCAT